TCATTTATTTGGAATTATTCTTTGATATGTGATATTGATGATTATTCAACCACTTTGTATCATTAGATTCTTCAAAGCAGTGACTCTATCTTAGCAACCTTGATTTCATTCGATCATTGATTGTACGAGTGAGTGAATAGTATATATCATATTATGTTTTTAAATTTTTTCGATATATCTTTCATGCATCATTGATTTAAGTATGACATAATCATATTTATTGTAACTTAGATAGGAACGAATTCCATGTGTATTTGGAATGATTTAATAATAAAATTGTTTGATATGATTTTTAAAAAGGGATTTGAATATGTGTTTGAATAATTTTTTTACTTAAGGCTTGATTTGTGTTTATGAATTGCATTATCAAATCTAATTTTGAGCATGAATTGTATTTGATATGTTGGATTTAGATATTTTTGGAATATGTATAAGTTTATGTGATTTCGATTTGATCGGTTACCTTGGGATGCCTAGCTATAAGGGGCATAACCTTTGAGCTCATTGATATGAAAATGCTTCGGTTAGTAGGAGACGTGTAGTGCTAGTCCATGTGTCGGCCAACACATGATATACCTAGTCACGGGGCGTAACTTTTGGGTGTTCGCGTCTAATGATGCATTATGTTTGTTTCAACCTAAGTATAAATTTAGATACTTCATTTGATTTTATCCTTCTATATTTAGATTTTAATGTTTGATACAATTTGGATTTGAAGTATTTAAGCTATGATATATGATTTGATATTTACAATGTGTTATTGACTTGAGAAATAAGCATTACATCTTTAGTAGGTTTTAAATTATCATCCTAAGTCCGTTTTTCTTCCCTAGATATGTTATATAGTACCTACTCATTAAGTCGTTGATTTGCTCACACTCTACTATTTCGGGTTTGCAAGGTTTGTGAGATTACCTTTTTTACTTTCACAAAGCTACTTATCTTGAAGCTTACACATTGATCGTGAAACTCTTTTACTTGTAATCCTTTTTAAATTTTATGTTTGATATTGATGTAACCTTTAAAAGTTCTACAATCACTTGTGGAAGATGCATTAGAATTTGATTATAGATATTATTATGAAAACTACAAGAATACTATAGAATTATCATTTGTGTTGGAGTTATAAAGTATTAATTATTAGGTTATGATATTACACATTAGAAACTATATTTGATGTGATATAGGTTTGAGATTTATGGTCTAAATATTCGATGCTTGTTTGAGTTGAGATGGGTTTCACGGTTCTCTCGATTCTTACATCGATCATGGCCCACTTTGAGGGTTGTGAAAACAACAAACCAATCACTTTTTGTATTTGGTTTTAATGTGTTGAAAGACTCATAACAAGTCTATCATAATTATTATTAGGTTTTTTTTAACTTTATTTTTTTCTATTTTAGCATACATGATTGCATGAACACCTTACCGATAAGACTATCAATGCAATGAGCTAAATGTATATACTTGATTTAAAAAAAAATCAATTAAGTAATTTATCTAATTTTATTATAAGATAATTCACATTATTTTTCTTGGTTGTGACATAGATCCAAACTACACAACAAATTAATCAAACCGAGAATGAGTCTTATTCAAAACAAGGCATTGGGTCACGAGGATGAATACGAATATTCGACCGAGCTAGTGTTTGTGTCTTGTTTTTGAGATACTTTAGAAAGATTGACTTGATGGGTTTGGAGTGAAGTCTAGCAAAAGAAGATTTAATTGTTACTTTCTTTAGCCTTTATTAGCAAGTTGAACTCCCAAAAAAACCTAACTTTCTTCAAAACATGGATGACTTGACATGATTCTAGTGGTCAATGGCCATCTTTAATTCACTATAAAACCAACTTCACATCATTGTGAGGAATTCAAACTTTCCGATTTCAACTTTTGATTTATAGCAAAAACTCTAAACTCTCTCTTTCAAAACTCTCTCACACATACACCGGATAACATCTAAAGCTCCATCTCCTTAAACTTTTACTATCCACTCGCTAGCTACTTAATTTGCACCTTACTAGTATTATCTATTTCTCTTCTCATGCCTCTCATTACTTGTATCCCTTCGTTTCATTCGTTGACTATTAATTGTATAAGCCATAACACTAATTATCTATATCTTGAGTAACTTATGTATCGGCTCGATCGATTCACAAAAACCCACCACATAGATTCTTACTATAATTAGGATAAAGATTGTTTTCTCATCTATTATAATTTTTTTATATTACAATTCACTTAAATACATATTTTTTAATTTATTTTTTGAGCTCCATACTAATATAAATGTTTTTTTTTCTTTTAATTCCAATTTAGAGTTAACCATTGAATATAATGTTTTTAAAATATTATTAAAAAAAAGGTTAGGATTATAAGAGAAGTAGGATATTCTTGCTACAATTCAGACAAAGATATTTTAAATTTTAGCTTTTTCTTATACTCCAACGAAAATAAATGAAGAATATAATTTTTTAAAAAATATTATTAAAAAAAAAGGTTAGGATTCTAATAGAAGTAGGATATTCTTACTACAATTAAGATAAAGATAAAGATAAAGATATTCTAAATTTTAGCTTTTTCTTATACTCCAACGAAAATAAATGAAGGATTTTTTACTCGGACATTATTTTTCTCTTAACCCAAAATAATTAGTTACAAAATGCAACACCTTGCCACGTTGAATAAAAGAGTAACACAAAACGTTTGGCTAAAATATCAGAGTAAAAAAAGAGAAAGAAACAGAGAAGTAGGGTGTTTGGTTGAAATTTAAAACGTTTGAATATAAAATATATATTTTTTAGTTTTAGTCATTTTAGAAATAGGAAAAAAAAATCACAAATGGACAATAAAAAATATAAAAAAGGGTACTATAATCTCTTTACAAGTTTACCCCCCACTACGCTGCCTTTTTTAATATGTAAGAAAGATTTTGGAAGCTTGTTGAATGGTTCACCTGATATGCATGATAGGCGTGAAATAAATTTTTTATATCCATTTCTTCAAATAATTTTGACCCAAGGAAGAAGTACCAATTCTTAATGCTTCATGGTAATTTCTTGAAAATGGTGTTACAGGATCTCCATCATAAGACTCATGATTGCCATTTCAACCGAAGTGAGGAATATAGAATTCTTATTTCAAACGATTGATCTTCTTCATTAAAAAATGTTAATGCTGAACTCACCTTTGACTAACCTGAAATTAGCCAACCATATTTAATTAGATGGGTGAGATGATCTTCGTGGAAGTTACCACCATTAGCTCCCACATTCATAAGCTGACCGATTCTGCCACCCATGTGCCAAATCAACCTATATCTTCACTTTTCTTCTTTTCTTGCCAATTGGTGTACAAAATTCTCCATGTCTGGGTTTTGAAAGCGCTAATGTACACTTCTTTGCACTAATAATTGGCTAATGGAACGTGAATTTCCACTTGCAATTATTTTTTTTCATTTCTTTGGTCCAACTCTCATAATCACACACTTTCCATTTACATGATGGCCAAAGCCATGGATCTGAATAAGTTTACGGGATTGGATCAAAGAGAGTTGTCAAATATGAACCAGATCGAACCGATAGGATGACTACTCGAAATAAATGAATCAAGCACTAAATTAATAAAATTTTGGCATTAATATATGATATTAAATTGATTTGAAAAAATTACTATCAATGATCCACCAATTGAAGTTGTAAATAACCAATTAAACTAAGAAATTGGAGTCCCTCTCGTTTAGAGAAATAAATTAATTAGTCTTATTTTTTTATTAAAAAAATAATTATTTAGTTTTTCACATTTTAATTCCGTTAATAATTCAGTTAGTTTATCAGTTTTTTATTAGATTATTGATTTTTTTTTCAAATTATTCTTCTTTTGATTTTAGTTTTAGGAGGTAGAAAAAAGAAGTGGGTGAAGAAGAGAAGTAAGACATAAAATGAAAGGTAATTTTTCTTTTTTTAAAAAAAATCACAAATGTAACAATAAACTGATGAAAAGACTAAATCACTGACGAAATTAAAACATAAAGGATTAAGCAATTAGTTTTTTAAAATGAGAAGGACTAATTAATTTATTTTTTGAAACATTAGTGACTAGTTTATAATCTACTCCCAACTGCATTGAGAAAACAAACCTGCAATTTCTGAAGGAAAAAGAAACAAAAAAAGAAAAAGAAAGAGTCTTTCTTCAAAACTCCAAACGCGTTTCTTAGGTCAGACTGCTTGCAGCATTCAATTTGGGGCTCCCCACCAAAGACTAGACTAGAAGGGTTTTGTTTTCCACACAGAAAAAAACAGCATTTCTTGTTTCTTTAAACCATTTAACTCTCCCATGCCCATCCTTTCTACTATGTCACAAAATTTCATGGAAAGAGCAAAGTGTAGAAGTCAAGAAAGCAAACAAAGAAAAAAACAGTTCTCCTTAACAAGTTGAAAAAAAAAAAAAGGAAAGACTTATCCCAGTAACTTACCAACACACATTACACACAAGGTGTGATGAAGCCAATGTGTGACAGGCTCAGTCTTTGTCCAAAGAAGAAGCAGAAGTTTCAGCCCAAGTCTCCGGTCAACCGCCACTTCTAACACGCCACAAATTGTTTTTCTTTTATCTTTCCCATAAAACACAAAGCACTCAGCTTTGAAATCGAAACCCCATGATGCCATAACCCATCAACTCTCTCTCTCTCTCTCTCTCTCTCTCCCCCAATATCTTAAAAATCCTTTTTTTTTTTTTTTTCTATTGTCCTCTGGTGTCTGCCATTTCTTTTTATTCTGTCTCCTCTTCGCCTGAAACTGAACCCAACAAAAAATATATACAAAATACTGCACACTTGCACATCCAGAGACAAAAAATAAAGAATAGAAAAAACAAACTTGGATAATTCAGCTAAGATGGCAAGGTATGTGCAGCAAATAACCTTTCTTTTCTTGTCTTTCTTGTTCTTGTTATTTCCTTCAGTGTTCTCTCAACTATCTTCAAACCAAACCACCATCATGGTCAATCTGTCTAAGCTCCTTAACATTTCTGGTTCATTATGGGCTAATAAAGACCCATGTTCTTGGAAGGGAGTAGGATGCAGCTCTGGTAACTCAGCAGTAACTGGTCTTTCTCTAGACAAGTTTGATCTCTCCAACTCTAATTTCTTACCTGAAATTTGCAAGATTGAAACTTTACAGTCCCTTGATCTTTCTAACAACCGTTTGAGCTCAATCCCAGATGAGTTCATCAATGGTTGTGGAAGGATTGATGGACTAAAGGTGTTGAATTTTAGCAAAAATGGGTTAGTTGGTCCTTTGCCTACTTTCAATGGTTTTGTTGGGTTAGAATCTTTGGACTTGTCTTTCAATTTTTTGACCGGTAATGTTAGTTTACAGTTAGATGGATTGCTTTCTCTCAAAATCTTTAATCTTAGTTTCAATCAGTTCAATGGTCCTATTCCTGTAAACCTTGGAAAGTCCTTGCTGTTGGAGGAGCTTCAGCTCTCTATGAATGAATTCCAAGGTACGGTACCTCAAGAAATTGCAAATTATCAGAACTTGAAATTAATTGATCTTAGTTCCAACAAACTTGAGGGGCCGATTCCTACTAGGATTGGAAATCTCTCCAAGTTGAGGTTTTTGCTTCTGTCTGTCAATAGATTGAACGGAGAAATCCCAGCAAACATTTCAAGTATCCCAAACTTGTATCGATTTGCAGCGAATCAGAACGAGTTTGGTGGTACAATTCCCAGTGGAATTACAAGATATCTCAGCTTCTTAGATCTTAGTTACAATAATTTAAGAGGGTCTATACCGACAGATTTTTTATCAGGGTTGAATTTGCAACTTGTGGATTTGTCTTATAATCTGTTGGAAGGTTCAATACCTGCAAAGATATCTGCGAGCTTGTTCAGGTTGAGATTGGGAAGCAACAGGCTCAATGGGTCAATCCCTTCTTCATTCGGGACACTTGAGAAGTTGACTTACTTGGAACTGGACAACAATAGCTTCACCAATGGGATACCCCCTGAGTTGGGTTCTTGCCGTAGTTTGGCATTATTGAATTTGGCACAGAATGACCTTACAGGCCATGTACCTGCACTGTTGGGTAATCTCAGCAATCTTCAAGTTTTGAAGCTTCAGCTCAACAAGTTGGGTGGAGATATCCCTACAGAGATCACTCAATTGCAGTTGTTGTCGATCTTGAACATCAGCTGGAATTCACTCACTGGTTCAATACCATCTTCAATTTCAAACTTGCAAAGTCTTGCTCACCTGAACTTGCAAGGCAACAAACTTCAGGGTCCAGTACCTGCCACCGTCAACAGCATGAACTCTTTGTTAGAACTACAACTTGGACAAAATCAACTAAGTGGAACGATTCCAATGATGCCAGCGAAACTGCAGATTTCTTTGAATCTCAGCACCAATCTCTTTCAAGGAGATATTCCAAAAACTCTTTCCCCACTGAAGGACTTGGAAGTTTTGGATCTCTCAAACAATGATTTCTCGGGTAAGATTCCCGACTTTCTTACTCAAATGGCATCTCTAACTCAGTTGATGCTCTCGAACAATCGTCTTTCTGGAGTCATCCCAGAGTTCAAAAAATATGTGTCTGTAGATGTAAGCGGAAATGCAGGACTTGAAAACAAGACAGCAGCAAACACCCCCCAACCATCCTCAAAGAAGCGAAAATCAGTTGCTGTACCAGTTGTTCTTGCAGTTGTTGCTGCTGTTGTTGCTGTTGGCATTGTCTCGATTATAGTTATGTCATTCTCCAGACGTTTTCTGAAGGTTAATGATCAGCAGTCACAGTCAGAGGAAGATCTTCCACCTCCTCAAGTCATCCAAGGCAATCTGTTGACTACAAATGGAATTTACAGGTCCAACATCGACTTCACCAAAGCCATGGAAGTAGCTGCTGATCCATTGAACATTGAGTTGAAGACTAGGTTTTCGACATACTATAAAGCAACCATGCCTTCTGGAGCAAGCTACTTTGTCAAGAAGCTCAACTGGAGCGACAAGATATTCCAATTCGGTAGCCACGATAAATTTGGACAAGAGCTAGAAGTTTTAGGCAAACTGAGCAATTCCAACGTGATGACTCCTTTGGCCTATGTATTGACCATGGACAGTGCTTATCTCTTCTATGAATATGCTGAAAAGGGTACCCTTTTTGATGTTCTGCATGGTAAACTGGGAGATGCTATGGACTGGGCAAGCCGTTACAGTATAGCAGTTGGTGTTGCTCAAGGCCTTACCTTTCTTCATGGATGCACCTCTGGTCCGATTCTCCTCCTCGACCTTTCAAGCCGGAACATTTTGCTCAAGTCTCTGAAGGAGCCTCTGGTAGGAGACATTGAGCTCCACAAAGTGATTGATCCAACAAAGAGCACTGGCAGCCTTTCGACAGTTGCTGGCTCTGTCGGCTATATTCCACCAGGTAAACAACCCTTTATGCTCATCTTAATATCCAACAAGTATTCAAATTTTAATTTGTATGAAGTGGTTAACGTGACCAAAATTCATGAATTTTTCCCATGAACTTCAATATTGAATAATTTCTTGAAAACAGTTTCATAATGCTTAATGAATCCTTCTTAGGCATATGCTTGAGTTTGTGATATGGACTTGACGAGTGATTGTGGTTCTTGCAGAGTATGCATACACAATGAGGGTGACAATGGCTGGGAACGTATATAGCTTTGGGGTCGTTCTACTGGAGTTGCTGACAGGAAAGCCAGCAGTAAGTGAGGGAATTGAATTAGCCAAGTGGGTCTTAAATAAGTCAACGCAGCAAGACAGGTGGGATCACATCCTTGATTTTAACATCAGCAGAACTTCACCTGCTGTCAGAGGCCAGATGCTTGCAGTCCTTAAGATAGCCCTGAGTTGTGTTAGTGTTTCCACAGAAGGAAGGCCAAAAATGAAGAGCGTGTTAAGAATGATCCTCAATGCTCGATGAAGACTAGCCTCGGAATACAATCCTCCTAGAAGTAGCAGTTCTATATACTTTTTAAGCTTTTGTTTCAAATCTGTAGGTAGAAGAAAGGTTTCTTGCTGCTCAAAATGAAGCAGCTGTTGCAAGCCAGCCGGCATGTATTCTGCAGTTCCTATGTATACATAATATATAAATGAGAATTTTCTGTGACGTATTTATCCATCTCTCTGTTTTTGCCATCATTTGATAGCTCCCTTACTGTCAAGCTCTCCTGGCACCAATGAGAGGTTTAAGCGTTATTCCAAGGTTCTTCTACCGAGATTAACTTTGCTTGTTGGGAAGTAGTAGGCCCATAATTTGAAATTGAGTGAAGCAACTTGGTTTCAAGTTCAGTTCATCGAGATTCAAAATCAATCGTTGCTCAAGGTGCAGTTTAGGACCAAGCTGACCATCATTCAAGTTTGCTATGTTAATTTTCCAAAGAAAAACTTGCTCTATAACTCCAATTAAGAAGCACATAAAAATTTGACAACATGACGACGACAACCACAACAACAAATTTATTTTATTATGTAATAGTGGTAGCTAGCTCAATATACACGCATTGTTACTTACTAAATTTATTATATCTATATTTTAATATTTTAAATAATTTAAAAATATAAATATAAATTAAAAATTAATTAACTTTCATTGTAAAAAAATTGTTTAATATACATATATAATTGAATTTAAACATATCTTAGAAATATTTTTTATTTTGATAAATAAAAAATATATGTAATTAATTATTTATTTTAAAAAATAAAATTCGAAGAAGGTGTTTAATCAATTTATTTTAAAAGAATATTAATTTTAGTTAACGAATATTTATAAAAATAGAAAAAATAACAATTAATTATGGGAAAAAAATTATTTTAATTAAATAATAAATAATGAAAAAAAATCCAATCAAGCAAAAAAATTATAAGTACTTTTTTTGTAACATTAATTAACATTAGGGATAGCTTTATATAAATTCATAACTTAGAGGATTGAAGTGTAAACAATCGGAAAAACCACAAAAAAATCACTAATTGTTTCAGGAAAACTACAAAAAATCACTTTTTTTTTTTTTTTGAGAAAACGACATGGTTCACTATAACAAACGCTTAGTTACAATAAAACCCAATTCTCTTTTACTATATGTTGTAATTCATATGCATACATAATTTCATTTACGAACACTTAAGAGCTGAGAGCATGAGTATTAAGTTTGTTCAAACTTAATTTACTAAATTATTTTACTCGAAATTTATGTTTACCTTGGTTTTATTTAGTTAACGACTTCTGAACAAAAACATATCAATAAGGAGAACTTCAATGAAATATAACGTAAATACATCTTACATTGACTCTGCCAATATCCGCAGATTCTGTCTTACAGTAGTCATGTAAGTTGCAGAGCAACTTACAAGTTTTCAAGCTAATCTGTTCCTGACAAGAGATGGTGACTGGCATTTCTGGCCAAGAGTTGGGTCAAGTGCTGTTTACTTGTGAAACTGTGGATGGGAAGGAGAAGAGACAATCATCAGAATTGATGCTAAATGCTTCTTCACAGTCACTTGATAGCAATCTTCCTCAAATAAAAACCATCAATCCATCCTTTCAACTTCATAGACATAAGAGGGAACATTGAAGATCATAATTTATGTTTCCCATAACTGATGTCGAGGACTAAAACAACAAATCACAAAAAAGAAACGAAATTGATAATAAGCAAAAACGTTTTACGACAACATTAAAGTACAAAAATTTTGAAATATCTGAAACCCATATAAAAATTGCTCTTCAAAATTCTGCTCCTGTTCTACATAGAACTTTGGACAGAGATAATAGCTCCTACATTTCTCTTTTTGAGTATACTCCATGAAGATCAAGGAATGATTACCAGAGGAAGATGAGCTTCGAAACATATGAGGTGAAAGGAAATCTTCAGGATATAAAGATATGGCCTATTTTGGTGGCAGAATTTTAATTAGAAGGTAAGGTCTTTGGGGTCCTCAATAATCTTTGCTAGTGTTTGCAAGAAGGCGGCCAGATCAGCACCATAGATTACACGATGATCAGCTGTAACATTTACCTGTAAATATTGCATTTTCAGTATGAGAAATATGAATTAAACTATAAGGAATGGTATTTGTATTCCAATACTGTGTTTGGAATACTAATAAGAAATCGAAATGCAATTTAAATTTTTTAATATCTAATTTTGTATACAAATATAAATAATAATTAAAAAATAATTTTATTAAACTATAATAGTTATAAAAATAATAAAGATGATGGTAGTGATTGTGGTGGTTCTATTGGTGGTGGTAGTAGCGATGACGGTGGCGGGTGGCGGTGGCGATAATGATTGCGGTAGTGATGGTAGTTATGATGGTTGTGATGATGTTAGTAGTGGTAGTGGTTGTAATAGTGATAGTGGTGGTTATGATGGTGATTGCGGTGGTTGTAGTGATGGTAGTGGTGGTTTAGTTGTGATGGTAGTGGTCGTAATGGCAGTGGTGGTGGTAGTGGTTGTGATAGTGGTGGTGGTGGTTGTGGTTATTGTGGTGGTGGTGGTGGTGGTGGTGGTGGTAGTGGTAATGGTGGCAAAAATAGTTAATAGATAATAAATAAATAAAATATATTATTATTTTCAAAAAAAATTCATTCCCATTTCTTGTTTTTTATTCTCACATTTTATGTGGGAATGAAGTTGTGTGTAAATTTTCATTTTCATTCCCACTCTTTATTCCCATTCTCACTTCATTCCTTTTAATCAAACAACTACAATGTGGGAATAAAGCTTCCATTCTCATTCCCACCACTCTATTCCTGATTACCAAACAGCACATAATTGTCATAGAGAAATAGCCTTTTTCAGAAATCATGATGTGGCATGCTTGTTACCTGCATCTGGGTTTTCATACCAATCCGGCCGTCCTTGGTACCTACAACAGTTGGCTGTGATGCTCCAACGGCCATAATTGCTCCCTGCATCAACCATCCAGATCAATAAACCCAAACCATATATCAAACACTAATAACGAGCATGCTATCTGCACCAGCCTATTGTAGAGGAATCCAGCAGATATGAAGCTCTCTATATTCAAATGAAAAAACTTACAGTTCCAGGGGGCAGAATGGCATCAAATCGATCAACACCAAACATTCCCAGGTTTGAAAGGGTGAAAGTACCTGCAAATTAGGAAACAAGAATAATGAAATGAGACAGAGAATTATCATGCTAACAATATGCTTAACCCTATAGAAATCAGACAGCAACCAGAGAACACCCATGCCTACGAATTTCTGAGAAATGCAAATGAGAAACACGTGATAAATTTGTCCCATCAAGGACTCTGAAGTACAGAAATCAAAGAAATATGACTAAAGAACCAGTTCGCACAAAACAGGTAACCAGATTATCGGAAGTTGCAACAAATACTATCGACTTGGACAGAAATGGATAGTCAGCCTAGATTTAAAATGTCCAGACACCCTACTTTCAGTTTGTAACAGCGTTATATACAATACCGGTTTTGTGAACAGAATGATGGTGGCAATCCACCAAACAAAGGATCTTGCACAAGAATTACAAATTAATACTTCGAGCATCAGAAAACACAAATAATAAAAAATCAGTACTCCACCACATCAGAAAAAACAAGTAATGAAAACCGCGGAACTATTTACAAACCTAGCAAAAACGACCCTTCCCAACTTTGGGAAGGGCAGTGAAGAGAATACCATCCCAGTCCTATGAAACTACTACCATCCCAGTCCTATGAAACTATGTTGTTGCTTAAATACGTAAAGTAGCTCTGCTGATGCTTTAAATCAAATGGACAGCAATCCACCAAACAAAGGATCTTGCACAAGAATTACAAATTAATACTTCAAACATAAAATAATAAAAAATCACAACTCCACCAAAACAGGAAAAACATGACAATGAGAACCATGAAACTATAACCAATATTACCTTTTGCAAGCCTAGCAAAAGCAACCCTTCCAACTTTGGAAGAGGCAATGAAGCAACTACCATCCCAGTCCTATGAAACTATGTTGTTGCTTAAATACATAGAGTAGCTCTGTTGATGCTTTAAATCAAACTTCCATTCCAGTCCATTCAATTTGAAGCTACAATTATCCATTTAGAACTAATGTTAACCATAGTCAAGCATTCCTTACGAAGTTCCCAACCTGATAAAGAATTAGGATTTGTATGTCCAGGTAATCAACAATTTGATAAGCTAGTAGACTCACATTGTGCAAAAAATCAAATTGTTGTAAGCAATTTGGATAGCATGGCTGGAACATGAATCACCAAGCTTTCAAGATAAACATATTCTGGAAAGTTAAATAAGATTTGGGAGCATTTAGTAAGAGTACCTGTATTGTATTCTTGAGGTTGCAGTTGCTTGGCTCGGGCCTTATCAACTAAATCCTTCCATTTTCTTGACAATGAGTAAATGTCAACCTGATAAACACATTAAAATGAAGTACTCAAAACTGAACAAGAATTTATCACCCAGAATATTTACAGAAAAGCCGCAAGCAGATTAACAAGAACCTTATCAGCATCTTGAAGCACTGGTGTAATCAAGCCACCATCGATAGCCACAGCAACCGCAATGTTGATGCTACTATTATATGTAAAGCTATTTCCATCTCGGCAACTAGAGTTTATTACAGGATGCTTAACCAATGCCAGAGCAGTAGCCTTTGCAAGTAATGCTGTCATTGTCACTCCCTTTGACTTGATCTAGGCATGCACAGAAAAGGAAGCAAGACATAAGGATGAATCACCAGACAAAGGAATTCAGTGCGAGACAATCAAAACTTGCCCTATAGATCCCCACTTAAATTGCTGAATAAACACTGAACCTAAATTATTGAACACTCATAACTTCGCCATTCTTTAACCATGATGGTACCTCCCTCTGCAAAGCATCGAGCATATTACTAAACACGAATTTACTTGTACAGCATATTTGAAGGTAGATCATATAAAACCTTCTCTATACAGGATATAATTTTATCTTCTCCTCTAGCATAATTCTCAAAAATAAGCTAAATGCAAATGCAGTCAGCTGTTTTAGGATACTAAACTAGAAAAATCACAAACAATTCACCAATCTAGAAGCAAAACATGATCATCAATAAAACAAGAAGTCTACTTTTAAGTACAATACATAAAGCCCTGTTAAGCTGGTGTCAATGTATATAGAAAACACAATAGATCATCATCTCATATATAGCATAAATTATCACTCTTAAGCAGCAGCAACATCCAAATAGCACTACATTACAACTAATCAAATCCCATCTTAATCATCCTAAATTAAGCTATGATTTGAGAGAAAAAGGAAAAGAAAAAAAAACAAATAACAATGCTTACCTTCTTGTAAAGAGCATCAAGTGCATCAGTAGTGATAGTGTACCCAACTCTAAATGTAGGGACTGACAAACTCTCCACCATATTCCTACTGACTGCTCCTTGCATTGTCGTAAAAGGCACCACCGATCCCAACTCAATCTCGGGCGGTGGCAGCACAGCGGGTGCCCCCGAAACCTTCGCTGCTGTTGAACCCAATTCAGCAGCCGCCGCAGCAGCCTCGACATCCTTGGCAACAATTCTCCCATTAGGCCCACTCCCTATCACTGTCCCCAACTCCACCTTCAAATCCTTCGCAAGCTTCTTGGCATACGGCGACGCCACCACCCTCTTCCCTCCCTCTGACGCCGGGTGCACCGCCAATGCCACCACAGACGGAGACGGTGGAGCCACCACAACTGCCTTCTCAACAGCCCCAGCACCACTGCTTGATTCTGTAGCCGGAGCCGGCGAAGAAGAAGACGAAGAAGAAGCAGCTTTAGACTTAGCCTCCTCAATTTCTTCCTGGGATTCAGCTAAAAAAGCAATAGCCGATCCAACAGCAGCAACACCACCTTCCTCGACCATGATGGCAGCCAAGTAACCATCATAAAAGGTCTCCACATCCATGTCAGCCTTATCGGATTCAACAACAACAACACTTTCACCTTTAGAAAGCTTGTCACCTTCGGATTTGATCCAAGAAACAATCTTGCCTTCCGTCATAGTAGAACTTAGAGCAGGCATGAAGATTTCCCGGATCTTGGCATGGACCAGGGATCGGGTCCGGGTTCTTGAAGAGGAAATGTGGGTTGCCCATGAAGAAAGTCTGGCTTTTTGACAGAAAGAAGAGGAAGGAAGAAATGTGGTTTGGAGAAGGTGAGCCATTGAAGTGGGAATTGTGAGAGAGGCTTGTGTTTGGAAATGGGGAGATTGTTTCAAAGGTTGGGTTTTGCTAAAAAAGAACGAACGGAATTCTTGGAAACATCGAAAGAAAGAAAGTGAGGGCGGAGGTTTCAACTACCTTACCGGTGAATTACAAGACTGATTTATTTATTTATGTGTGCTGTGTTTGGTTTAGTAGTTTGGAAAAACCAACGACGAGTCATTTGGGTTGCTGTCTTTCTTTCTTTTTCTTTTTTTATTTTTTTATTTTATTTTTTTTAAAACAAGAAGAAATTGGATTTAATTCGAGTCGAATGTGCCAAGCCCATGAAATTACATGCAAATGGCCCAAATTAAGGAGTTCGCGATCATCCACACAAGATAAGTTCTTTGCTTGTCGACTGTCTCTACCGTTAGCTCTAGCTTAGCAGCGAAACGCCAACAGCAAGGATGAAGATGGTAGAAATCGCCATGCCCACCAACCTCCACATTAAACCAACTCTCTCTTTTAATCCATCTGTTTCCATCTCAACTAGGCATCTAAGAAAGAAACCAAAGGAAACAAAAACAAGGAAACTTGGTTCTGTTTTTGCTACCAGCTCTACTTCTTCTAATAAAACCATTGGTGAGGAATTGTGGCCAAGGAGTGAACCTTTTGGGAATAATAAGGAGAAGAGAACAAGCAAGAAAAGGGTTTTCTTTTTGGATGTGAACCCACTTTGTTATGCAGGAAGTACACCTAGCTTGCACTCATTTGGCTATTGGATTTCTCTTTTCTTCTCTCAAGTTAGCCTTACTGACCCTGTAATTGCTGTAAGTTTCCTTTTCTTTCTTACGTTTGATTTTATGCATTTATGTTAGTAGTATTTTTATTTTTTTTCATAGCAAGGTCTGCTCGTGAATTTATCATATTGGGATTGATTGGATTGTTTCAAATGATTCATATGGTTATTCAATTGGTTGTATGTGAAAGTGAGATTGTTGTTCATTGACAGTTACTGGATATTGTAAAAGAAAGAGGGTATCTTGCAATTTTGTTGACTGATAGAGGGATATGTAGATGACCCGGATAATCAGAAGAATGTTCTTGATAAAATTCATTCAGATTTTAAAGTAACTGTTTTGACTATACTATTTGGTTTGCAATATATGAAAATTTGAATTTTTTGACCTTGTAGATTGGTTGCTTCATGTGTTAGACTTTGGAAAGTACTTTTTTTTTCGTTGTAGATTTCGAAGCCATTAAGTTTCCAAGCAATGGGACACAAACATATGTCTGAATTGTTAAGTGACAAGTTGCTTTAATCTCGATTCTCGAGTGAAAAGAAGGTGCATGTTACATAGCATGATCTACTTGGAATTCTTGCTTCTCCTTTGTAAAACCTTGCAGTCCTGAGGGGTTTATGCAGGAGGTGCCTCAAGAAAAGTATAGGGAAGCAGGAATTTGCTTTCCTCACTCTCTCTGTAATACAGTCTAACGGCCGCAACTTACTTTGGGTGACTTTGTTGGGAGGGACTGACTTGTCACGTTTCCATTGTATGTATAAGCTAGGTTCCTGCACAGCCAAGAACATTTCTTGGGATTTTTGCATATCTGGTCCCAAATTGTGAATTTCTTGAACTTCATTCTTTTGAGATTGGTTCTCTTACTTGATATACTCTGATATTCGGAAATTATCAAAATATAATAAATCATGATAACTTTCTCTTGGTTTATTATAGCTTGTTTGGACTTAGAAATAGTTGTGTTGTGTTGGTTTTCAGGTTCTTGATGGAGAAGGAGGAAGTGAGCATCGCAGACAGTTGTTACCTTCATATAAAGCACATAGGAGGAAATTCTCAAGTGGATCATCAGCTCAACAAAAATATCCTGCTCGAAGGTCTCATGTTGTCATGGATATTCTTACAAAATGCAATGTTCCAGTAGGTGAACCTTCATTAACTGTTTCTTGCCTTCTATGAATAAGTTACTTGCTCTCAGGTATTTATGAAATGACAGTTAATTGTATGCTTGTAGATTCATACTGCATAATTGTTGCACTGTCATCTTCTAAAGTAATGCTCATAGAAAATTTTGCTGGTTCATGTGTAGTGTTGTTTGCATTTTATATGCTGTCTGGAGGTTTTTTTTATTTTTATTTTTTTGATAAAACGAGAGAGTAATTATATTAGAGGAAGGGCATAAGCCTTACGAAGAAAAACCTACACAAGCTAGTAGGCGAAATAAACAAGGCAGAGGTGATTCAAAAGCTACTTATAAGTGGTAGTATACCAGAGAGAATCCCAAGATACAGAATAGAAGAGGTATACATTTCGGATAAAGGTATACCAAGCTGGTTTAAATCCAAGCAATTAGATCACCACACCTGGACAAACCTGATTTGGCAAGAGCATCAACTATTAGCCTCTCGAAAAGCATGAATGAATTTTATGTCAGCAAAGAATTGCTTCTGGTTTTGGATAGCATTTAAAGTTGGACAAAAAATCCATGGATAAGATGTTGGATTGTTCAACCAACTAACAACATTAGATGAATAAGAACCAACAATTAACTTGCAGCTGATGTTTTGTTAGACTTAACGTGCAAGAATGACCGACTCTATATATATCTGAATTTAAGAAATAAAATGTAGAACATTTCTCCCTTCCTGTAAATAAATAAATGTGAGTAAGTTGGGCTTCAATCACCATCACGAGAAATTTGAGTTTGAGTGAGGAAAGATTACCACCCTCTTGTTGACAAATTACTTGTGAGAAAATAATTTTTGATCTTAACTGTCTGAGAGATCACCTTTCTGCAATCTTAATTTGGTTGCTGACAACATGAAATTTTTGCAGGTTGTGAAAATTGAAGGCCATGAGGCAGATGATGTTGTTGCGACACTTGCAGGACAAGTTCTGCAAAGAGGATATAAAGTGGTTATTGCCTCTCCTGATAAAGATTTCAAGCAGCTTATTTCTGAAGATGTACAGATTGTTTTGCCTATTGCAGAGTTAAATAGATGGTCCTTTTACACCCTAAAGCACTACATCTCTCAGTATAGTTGTGATCCATGCTCTGATCTGAGCCTTCGTAAGTGTGAGAAAAAAATTTCTTTTCTTTAATTTTTGAGAATGAGAAAAATTGTTAGATTTGCTTTATGGTCAAAATATATCTTATATAGCTCACTGTACTTTTATGTGCATACTTTATCAATAACCATTTTGCAACTCCATAGCACTTACTTATTGCCTATGATTTAGCACAGTTACTAGTGTTTAAGACCTGCAAGATGTTATTAAATCAAGAGACAACGATAAGGATCCTTCCCAAAATATAGGAAAAAGTTGACAATATAGAGGAAAGTTTTGAGTGTAGTAGTCACTTTAGTGGGGGAATTATGTTCTTAACACAAGTTGCTCCACTCTATTCTTCAGCATTTAGTGCAACCTACTCTCATTTTTTCCACGTGAACTGCCTATAACTTTTCTAGTTGGAGATGTAATTGTGTAGGATGCATTATGGGTGATGAGGTTGATGGTGTACCTGGGATACAAAATGTGGCTCCCGGATTTGGTCGAAAGACTGCTCTAAAGCTTTTGAAAAAGCATGGTTCGTTACAAAATTTACTAGATGCGGCAGCAGTAAGAACCGTGGGTAAACAATATGCACAAGATGCCCTAACAAAGCATGCTGATTACCTGCGAAGGAATTATGAAATTCTTGCACTGAGGAGGTATTTTGCATCTGTTTGCTATCCATAAATTAATTTTCATACACATTTTCGTAGTTCTTGATGTTTCTTGCTGCATAGTCATTGCAACAAAAAAGGGAACAAATTTGGGTTGCCTTCTTTCTTGCCGTTTCATTGTTTATTGTATTTAGCTCTTGTTGACCATAGATCACACCTTCATACAGGGATGTTGATGTTGAGCTTGAAGAGGAATGGCTGGTTGAGAGAGACAAATGCTATGATTCAATTATTTTGTCAAACTTCTTCAAGTTGTTGGAAGAAAGCAAAAGGCCTACTTACCAAAGTGGTTCACATTCTAAAAATGGTTAAGCCCCTTGGTGAGCTTTGAAGTTTGAATATGATGAGTTGAAGATATCTAACCAGTATCATTGCCAGACATCTTGATAGTCATGAAGACAACCGTGGCATGCATGTTTTGAATGTAAAAATTCTAGAAATGGGAGAATGCTTAAAGAAAGGGGAAGAGGGAGGGAAAAGAAGAAAGGGGTGGGGGGAACTTTCAGAAGTTGCTACAAGATCTTATATTATGTTTAAACAGATAGCTTTATGTTTGAAATCTTGTATCAGTTAGTCATAATGTCTCAGTAAAGCAAACAAGGAGCTTAAAAACGAAGACTTTAGCGCAACTGATATAGTGGAAGCCACTGCCTCATATTCAAGAGGACTGCAGGAGCATGATTATGGAGTATAGGGAAGTGCCTGTTGCATCTGTGGTTCTGTACACAGCTACTCCAGCAATGTAAGGCCGTTTTTTTACGGTGCCCTCATTTACTCTACTGGGACGTAATACTTTTAGCTTCTTGGTAGACAGCAGAGAAGGTTAACTCTACTGGATATTATAGCAAGCTATGTGGGAAAACGTAATATGTGGAGAATATTCTTTGTTATTTTAGAAAGGTTTTGTAATCACAAAAAATGAGGCCTAGTTTTCTGTCCTATTGTTTCCTTCATGTTTTGGTGTATTTGGTCCCTAATAAAAGCAAGAGTCCTCCTCCATTGTAAACATAACAGACACATAATGAAATAAAGAAAGATCTCTTGTGGATGTAGGTCTTATAATCGAACTACGTTAACCTTGGTGTTTTCCTTTTTTATTTTTTCTAAAAGTCAACATGGTATCGTAGCCTAGATCTTTCTAGGATAAATACCTAAATTGTTGCTAGCCTTCATTGTTAGTGGTGTTTTTTTTTTGTTTTTTTAACCAACCTTCATTAGTATCAACCTACTTTGCTAGTGGTTTTTTGCTACCGAATTGTTACCAGCATTCATTGCTAGTGTTTTTGTTACATGTAAAAGGCCTTCATTTTCTAGTTTTTAGAAACCAAAAGATATGTCAAAGGACGAAGAAACGACGCTTACGAGCCCAATCGGAGGAGGATGTCCGATCCGAACAGACTTGGGAAACTCCAAAGTATTTAGGCTACATACGGATTGAATGGAAGAAATTACCTTAAGTGGTCCCAACTTGTTCATACAAGGCTTGAAAGGAAGAGGGAAGATCGGCCACCTTACTCATACGGGACCTAAACCAGGTGATCCTCGATTCGAAGCATGGGATGAAGAGGATTCCATGATTATGTCGTGGTTGTGGGGTCTATGACCCCCGAGATCGATGACATATGTATGTTCTTGGCTACTACCAAGAAGATTTGGGAGGCAATACAACGGACCTACTCTAAAGCTAATGATACAACTCAAGTTTGTTAGGTCAAAGTGAAGACTATGGCTGAAAAACGAGAAAGTAAATCTTTTACCGAGTATGCTAATCAATTAAAATTCTTGTGGCAAGAACTTGATCATTATCGGATGATAAAAACTAAACGTCCCGTCGATACGAGTTGTTCTAAAAAATTTTATTGAGCAAGATAGAGTTTATGATTTTCTTGTTGGTCTTAAATCCGAATTTGATCGAAGTGAGGGTGCATATTCTTAGCAAGCCGGAGGTTCCATGTTTTAATGAAGTGATAGCTCTAATTCAAAGTGAAGAAAGTAGGAGAGGTTTGATGCTTGAATCACAAGCCATGGATAGCTCAAAGCAATAGTGGCAAGTGATGGCAACAAATCTACCATAAGAGTAGAAAAAGCATAATTTCTTAAAGGTGGACAAGTCTAGTCAATCAAAGGCTCAAAGTCGTGACAACCTATAGTGCACCTATTGTAAGAAGGCACGCCACACTCATGAAAAGTGTTGGAAGCTTTATGGAAAGCCTCCAAGTAGAGAATGGGGATAGAAAAAGGATCAACCAAGAGGCAAGTGGCGGACTCATGTTACCGCAATTCAACCAAATAAACCACCACCTCGTGAGACAAACGAGCCTTATCCGAAAGGAGATCGAGAGGTTGAGATCTCTTATCAACGACTCGTGAAAAACCTTCGTGTATTTGTTTTTTGGCATATTCAAGTAAGTTTCCTCTCTTTATTGGGTTAAATTTCTCGAGTACAACATTTTCCAACTTCGGGTCATGGACTCGAGAGCCACCGACCACATGACTCACTCACCAAATATTTTTACCACTTATTCTCCATGTCTAAACAAGTAGAAAAATAGCCACCGCCGATAGTGGCTTTAACCACGAGTAGCAGTGTAGGAGATGCCTAAATAAGTCCATCCCTAATTCTAAAAAAATATCCTTTAATGTCCCTAGATTGTCTACAAACCTTATCTTTATAAACATTTACAAACCTTATCTCTATAAACAAACTCACACGAGATTTATATTGCAAAGTGATTTTTAATCCCAGCTATTATGTATTTCAAGACAAGGATTCGAGAAAGATGACTGGACATGCTAAAGAACAGGATGGCCTCTACTACCTTGAAACACCAACTCAATCGAACATTATCAAGGGTAGATTATCTTATTCCTTCATTTCGAAATCCTTTCATCCAATAAAGAGAAAGTTTGGCTTCACCATCGTCGACTTGGACATCCATCATTTAGGGTTATTGAAATTTTGTTTCCCTCTTTGTTTAAAGGCCTAAATGTAGAAAACTTTCAAGTGATATTTAGGGTTCGTGTACTATTTTTAATATTTATGGGGCAAAATGGTTTCGTCATTTATTGATGATTGCACTTGTGTTACCTAGATTTTTTTACTCAAACATAAATCTAATGTTAGTACTATTCTCCTAAATTTTTGTTCCATGGTTAAAAACCAATTCGAAGTCGCATTAAAAGGTTTAGGTCTGATAATGCAAGGGATTATTTTAATCAAATCCGAACTTCATATTTTTAGAAAGAAGGAATAATATACGAGTCATCTTGTGTCTAGACCCCATAACCAAATGGAGTAGCCAAAAGGAAGAATGGTCACCTCCTCGAAACAACTCGAGCTTTGTTATTCCAAAATCATGTGCTTAAATCTTTCTGTAGGGAAGTCGTTTTTATAGTCACTCATCTCACAAACCGTTTACCTTCTGTGGTATCGGGGGTTTAAAAGTCCAATAGAAATACTCTCAACTTTCTACCCTAACCTCCATACTACAAATAACCTTATCTCTAAAGTTTTTAGGTAGGTGTCATTCATCCATCTCCATAGTCCAAACAGGGGAAAACTAGATCCAAGTGGCAATAAAATGTATCTTTGTAAGGTATTCTTCTAATCAAAAGGGGTATAAATGCTATCATCCTCCATCTAAAAGGTTCTATGTTTCAGTAGACGTCACTTTCAATGAACAAGAGTCTTATTTTACCACTCCTTATCTTTCGAGGGAGCATTTTACCATGGAAGATAAGGAATTTTTTCTAGCATCCCTTCCCATGTCTAACTCATCTCTTGGAAACCTTATTTCACCATCCATTTTTGAAAATTCTCCTAAACATCCTCTTGAATCCATTCCTCAAGAAAAACCGACTCTATTCTTGAAAATGTGAGATTTGGCAAAAGAAAAGTGTTCATAAGGAAGAAGATGAGTGCTTTCTGAATCCAGGCGAGTTTAAGAATCCAACCCAAATCTTGAGAATGAGGTAACAATTTCTAATCCCTTATTGCATAATGAATCTAGATCTCATAAGGGGATTAATGGCCGGGACCTTCCCATCATTATTAGAAAAGGAATGAGAGAATGCACAAATAACCTTCATACATTTCTTGTCCTTTAAGAATTTTTCACCATCTCATAGAACCTTTCTTGTCATTTTAAATAGCAATACCATCCCAACCACCTTATCCGAGGCTTTATCCAATGAGAAATGGAAACAAGCTATAAATGTGGAGATGAAAGCATTGGAAAAAAAAATAAGACTTAGGAGTTGGTGAAACTACCTGTTGGAAAGAAACTTGTGGGGTGCAAATGGATGTATACAAGTGAATTATAGAGCGAGATGGGTCCATAGAAAGATACAAGGCAAGGTTGGTAGCCAAGAGGTATACTCAAACCTATGGAATTGACTATCAAAAGACCTTTGCCTCTCGTTGCAAAAATGAACACTCGTTCGAGTTTTGTTATCATCGGTAGCTAATTATGGTTGGGATTTACAATAATTTGATGTTAAGAATGCATTCTTGTATGAAGAATTAGAGGAAGAAATCTATTTGGAGGTTCCACCGAGTTATGGGAAGAACTCGATTGTTAATACTATGTGTCGATTGAAGAAAGCCTTGTATGATCTAAAGCAATCACCACGAGCATGGTTTGGGAGATTTGCTAAAGTTATGATAGCTATGGAATACGAGCAAAGCCAAGGGGATCATACGTTGTTCATTAAACACTCACCTTAAGAGGGAATTACAGCTTCTCTTGGTTTATGTTGATGACATAATAGTTACGAGGAGATGATGAGAAAGAGAGACGGATCCCGAGTCAATGTTTAGCTAAGGAATTTGAGATCAAAGCGTTATGGAGGTTAAAATATTTTCTCGGGATCGAGGTCGCTCATTCTAGGCAGTGGTATTTTTATCTCTTAACAAAAGTATGTTACGGATCCTCTCAAGAGACACATGCAAGACAACGTGCAAACCAACAAGTACTCCAATATATCCAAATCTTAAACTTAGAAAGGTCGAAGAAGATGTTGCAGTGGATAAGGAGATGTATCAACGAGTTAGTAGGAAGACTCATCTATCTATCTCACACACATCTAGATATAAGCATATGCAATTAGTGTGATTAGTCAATTTATGCGTAACCCAAAGGAATTTCATTTACAAGCAACTCACCAAGTGTTATAGTACCTCAAAAAAAACACCAAAGAAAGGTATTATGTTCAAATGGAATGGAGGTTTAGCACTTAAGGCATCCGTGATTATGCTTGGGTCAATTGTTGACAAAAGGTCAACTACTCGGATATTGCACCTTTCTCGGTGGAAATCTTGTGACATGAAGGAGTAAAAATAGAATGTAGTTGCACGGTCTAGTGCAAAGGCGTAATTCCAAGCAATGTCTCAAGGAGTGTGTGAACTACTATGGTCGAAGATCATTTTAAAAGACTTAAAGGTTAAGTGGGATGGTCCGATAAGAGTTTACAATGATAACAAGTCTACAATTAGTATAGCCCACAACCCGGTACAACATGATAGAACGAAACACGTCGAAATTGATAAACACTTCATCAAAGAGAAGTTAGAGAGCGGTCTAATTTGTACACCTTATGTGTCCGCACATCGTCAAACTTGCTAATGTGCTTACTAAAAAGTTAAATAACTCAATGTTTCAAAGTATTGTATCTAAGCTAGGAATGGAGAACACCTATGCACCAATTTGAGGGGAAGTGTGAGAAGACGTAATATATGGGGAATATTCTTTGCTATTTTAAGAAGGTCTTGTAATCACGGAAAATCAAGCATGATTTTCTCGCTCTATTATTTCCTTCATTTTCTAGTGTATTTGGTCCCCTATAAAAGGAAGAGCCCTCCTCCATTGTAAACATAATAGACACATAATAAAATAAAGAAAGATCTCCTTTTGTGGATGTAAATTTATGACCAAACCACGTTAACCCTAGTGTTTTCCTTATTTCTCTTCTCTAAAATTCAACAAGCTATATAGTCAAACATTTTTGTATTGAAAAGACTCGTCTACAGAGTTATGTAATTTTTTGTTGTAATTTTCAAATGATGGAAGGCAACTCGTCTATTTTACCAAGTACAACTTGTTTTAGGAAGTTGGGACCCAATTTCGGTTTATAATTTTCCAAAAAGAACTGTAATTTTTATTACAATGCAATAGTGATCTGCAGATGTATTAAGAATGCTCCAAATATTACTTTCTCTTTCGAAATGATGACAATGCAATGGCTATGGCTTCCAACATTGGCCTTAGTTGATCTCTATTTTTTTCTCTCTTTGTAAGATTGTAATCTTTTATCCCTATTTTGTCACAAATAAAATTTACAAGCTTTGAAGTGAAAGTTTGCACAATAGTTTTAAATCATGATTGACAAAAACAATTGTGATTATGGATTGGGTTTATTGTGATAGTAAAATAATAATTATGACAATTGATGTTGTAAATATATTAATAATTTTTAATAAATTTACTATAATTCACATATTTTGATAAGTGTTGACTATGTTTAATGTAATATTATTTCAAAAAATAAAAATAAAATCTTTTTATCGTATAAATTTATTTTTTATTTTTAAAAACAAAAAGAAAACAAATTAGAAAATAACATAAAATAGATAAAAAAAAAAAAAAGAGAAGAAGACTAAATAATAGGTTTTTGAAACGAGAAGAACTAATTAATTTAATTTTGCAAACTAAAGGGATTAATTTATAATTTGCTCAATTAAAGCCTGCATTATTGCATGCCTTTGAATTGGGTGCATCCAACCCGAAATTTAATTAAATAATAGGGGGTAAATTATATATTAGTCCCTTTAGTTTTGATACATGAATTAATTAATCCTTTCAATTTTAAAAAATTAATTATTTAATTTTTTTATCAGTGTTGACCATGTTCAATATAATATATTTTATTCTATAAAATATTTTCCTTTTTCATCCATCTTTTCATGATATAAATTTATTTATTTTTCTATTTTTTAAAGTAAAAAGAAAAAAATTAGAAATTAATATAAAATAAAATAAAACAACAAAATAATTAGCTTTTGAAATAATAAAAACTAAGTAATTTATTTTTTCAAACTAAAAGAAGTAATTTATAATTTACTCAATTAAATCCTGCATTGCTACAACCCTTTGAATTTGGTGCCTGCAACCTAAAATTTAGTTGAATACTAGAAAATAAATTATACATTAGTCCCTCTAGTTTTAATAAATGAATTAATTAATCTCATTTGTTTTAAAAACTAATTATTTAATTTTTTTTATCAATATTGACCATGTTTAATATAATATTATTTTATTTCAATAAAATTTATTTTTTCATCAATATTTTTAAAATATAAATTTATTTTGCTGTTTTTTGTTTTTTTAAAACAAAAAATAAAATAAAATAGAAAATAACATAAAATAGATAAAAATGATTAAATAATTAGTTTTTGAAAGAAAAAAACTAGTTAATTTATTTTTCCAAACCAAAGAGACTAATTTATAATTTACTGAATTAAAACATGCATTCTGCTGCCGGATACTCACATGGGTTAGTTAGACACTCTCATCTAGGTGCCTCGCTAGCCCATGTGAATCTTCATAATCAATTTTAATAGAGTAAATTATAAATTAATCCTTTTAATTTGAAAAAATAAATTAATTATCTATTATTGTTTCAAAAATCAATTATCTAGTCATTTTTTATCTGCTTTATGTTATTTTTTAAAGAAAAATAAATTTATACCATGAAAGATTGATGGAAAAAATATATATATATAATAAAATAATATTACATTAAATATAGTCGACATTAATTAAAAAAAATTGAATAATAAATTTTTGAAAAAAACCTAATTAATTCATTAATAAAAAATAGAGACACTAATGTATAGTTTACTCCTTGTTACTCAACTAATTTTCAGATTGCGTTCACCAAATTCCAGGGCCGGCAGGAATGTAGGGTTTAATTGAGTAAATTATAAATTAGTCTCTTTAGTTTGAAAAAAATAATTTAGTTAATTCTTCTAGTGTCATTTACTAATTTTTTTCCTCTTTGTTTTAAAAAATAAATTTATCTTATAAAAAGATTGATTAAAAATAATTTATAGAATAAAATATATTACATTAAACATGGTCAACAATAATAATAAAAATTAAATAATTACTTTTTAAAATAAAAAATATTAATTAATTCATTTATCAAAACTAGAGGGACTAATATATAATTTACTCCCTATTAATCAACTAAATCTCAGGCGGCAGGCACTAAAGCGATTTAATTGAGTAAATTATAAATTGTGGTATCAGTTTGGAAAAATAAATTAATTAGTCCTTCTTGTTTCATAACAAATTATTTAGTCCTTTTTATCTATTTTATGTTATTTTCTAATTTATTTTCCTTTTTGTTTTAAAAAATAGAAAAAAAAATTATATCACGAAGAAGATTGATGGAAAAAAATATATATTAGGGGCTCAATTAAGGTTTCCGTTTATTAAACATATATATATACATATATATACACACTATAGAACTTAAATTTATCTTGATCAATTTCCTCAGTCACCTCTCTACCAGCTTCTAGCAGAGAAAGCTTAGGCCAAAACACACACAGTGCCAGAATGGAATCAACAGAAGACTGTTAGACAAATGAAGAAAGTTCTATTAGACAAATTATTTTAAATTTAAATTTTTATGTATGTAAATATTTTTTTGAATAATTGTTTTTTTTTTTATACAACGACATGATAATAAAATATTAATTTAAATTTTTTTAACATGCAATGATTAAAATAAAAAAAGTTCCTGTAACCCTGAGCAGTCTCCAAGTCAATGCCGGTCATCCCTGTCGAAAATAAATGTCCATATTGATTTTTCATATAATTTTTTTAAAAATTTTAATTATTATATTATATGAATATTTTTTATAATTTTTCTAAATATATATTTTTTTATTAAAATTATTAGTTATCAAATATACTGCATTACTTAGAATCAATATTAATTTTAAAAAAAAATCAAAATTAAGATATTAAATTAATTAACAATTACATTTAAAATAATTATAAAAAAATAATATACGAATGAAAATATTCTGTTTCTAAAATTTCAGAATGCTGTAAACTCTTTAAATAAATATTTTTTATGTAACAAAAAAATTTTATCATTGAAATTTTTACGTTAAAAAGATATTTTTATATATAAAGAAAAAATATAAAGAATATTGGTTTTTTTTGTTAGTAAAGAATAGAAAATAAAAAAAAATGATTTTCTTTATTAATTAAAGATATTTTTAAAAATATCTTTTTTAAAATTTTGATTATATATTTAAAATAAATACAAATGGAAAGAAGATAATTTATTTCAGCTAGTTAAAAAGAAAAAATAAATAAACAAGAAAAGATAATATGTTAATTCATGAAGAGTCCCTCTTTTAAGGAAAAGAAACCGAACGCTGCCTTATCTTCTTTTATTGTCAGTTGAGGATACTCTCTACAAGTGAACTTTTTATCTTCATCCACCAACGAACTCTGTAGAGATTACAGTTCATACATGTTCAGAAGTACGCCCAAATTCACATAAAAAAGCAGACAGAGGCAACACAGAAAGCAGTTCTTGCTCCAAAGAAACCTCCCATATACAGTAAAATCGAAGAAAAATGTTTCTACAAACAACCATCTCATCATCTCCACCTCTACAACACCTCCACCAGCATCCTCACTGTCTCCTCCCATTTGGGTCTCTCAAGTTTAGTCCCCACAAGCTCTCTCTTCAGGTACCATATTTCCAGCTCCTTCTTTTAACTATCCTGGTTTCTGAAAGTTGAAATCTTTACACTTCCTTCATCTTATTTGTTGCCTTTTCTAATTAGAGCATGTCTTAGTCTTTCTTGAAATTGACATGATGGCTCGTCCTATTAGATAGGTCTTGAATTATGTTGGTGTGTGTGTATATATATATATATATACTGTTAGTGTTTGAACATGCCATGAGAATTGAGTAATTCTTTAATGTAAGTTTTAACGTATAGAATTGTTGATATTACTTGGGAAAACTCTGCACATTTTTTCAGGCCCTTTTTCAGCACTATAGTCCGCCAGATTTGGCAACTTTTAGAGTAGGCCATGGACTGAATGTCACAAAGTTTTCTAATTTCCAGGTATGTGTTCCAACAATCCTCTTTGCTTCAACAGTGGCTATATTTGAATTGTCTGAGTTCAGGGTTGTAATCAAATATGAGTCTCTTCATCAGAATTTCCCAGAGAAATTTGCTATCTTTATCTCCACAGTTAATCAACACTTCTGTTTTCTTTTAACACTACTTGGTGATAAAGCTCACGCTCTTCTTTGGACAAAATTTTTTAGGACTAAAGTGCATTGGAGACTGCAAATTCTTAGCTGGCAAAGTGTGGTTAGAATTAGAATATATGGTCTTCTTGAGAAGGCACGGTAAATGACAAGTTTTATTTGATGGAACATCTTGGCTAATTTTGTATTTGGCCTCATGGTTATTGATGTCAGTCGCATTGAAAACTCTTACACATTTTTCTTTCCTTTGTGAACTTGCACAAAGAAATCTTGAACTATTGATGTCGAGATATTGGGTTTGACCCTTTATGTTTTCTTCATGTCATTTTAGCTTTCTGCGTCCCCAAATCCCCTCTTATTGAGCACCTAATTTGTTTTTAATTCCTGGGGAGAATTGGAGTCTGATGCACAAAAGGAGGTAAAGAATTGGTGGAGATTAGTTATGGGAAGGGAGTAGGGAGGGTAGATTTGTTAGCCACTTTTCCACACTGGATCTGGCTTGCTCGTAATGTCGAGGTCATCATAAGACTTGTTTCTGCATTGATGAAGAAAGTGAGCATGTGCTCTAGTTATTCTTTGGCAGTGTACTAAAGTTATATACTGGAGTTACAGATTCTTAAAGTGAAACTGAAGTGGGAACTGAAATCTGTGGGATAGTGCGTTCATTTTCTACCAATATGAAACCTTATTATAAAGATTGTGAGTTTCTTTTAGGATGAGATTTCCTTCGAAGATGGCTCTACAAGCATCATGTTTACCAGCCTTGTCTTGCACTGGAGTGGATTAACTGAACACTCTCTAGCATGGCTCTAGGTTGCCAGAGTTGAGCTGGAAGTTATAGCAGTACAATAGGAGAAAACTGCACCTTTGTGCTCAATGTGAAGTACATGGTAAGAGAGGAAGGGAAGTGCTTTAGAATGGATGAGTATCAGACTTGAGAATTAAAACTTTCTTTCCGCCAGAAACATTTTTTCTTCTATTGACTGATTTGTACTCTGTTTGAACTGTATAGCATCTAATATTTAATTTTTTTTATAATAGCTCCAGGGTGTAGCTCTCTTTGGGGTTCTCAATCTTCAATATATCGTGCCTTCATTTCATATGTTGCATTCCCTTTGGTAAAGATTCTTGCCTAATCATACAAAAGTTGGCTATTGTAACAAAGTACATGTGTGTATGTGTGTGTTACCAAAATCATGGTCAACCAGTTCAACGCAAGTGTTTTGATATCTGATATATAGGGGCCCATAGCTAGCCATTCAGTAGAGAACCATTTCGTTTATGAGTTATGATTTTCCTCTCTTCCTTCTGTGGCTTATGCTGTGAATCTGCAGAATGATTTTCCTCATCTTTCTATGTCGTTTTTTTTTTTTTTAAATAGAAGCTTCTTCTTTAAGGTGCCATACATTTTTCACCACTCATTTTGCATTCTCTTGTGGGCGAAGGCAGATACATGGAAAGGAGTTGGCAATGGGATCCTATAGCATAACAAGAGCCGAGAGTATTCCCTCTTCTCAATTTGATTTTTTATTTCAGTCTGATTTTAGTGGCTAAATTAAATTTATGTGTAGGATACTATGTATCTCATACATCAGATGTCTTCAACATCTTCAGATCCTCATTTTGTACTGTTTCTTATATAATCACTAATCTGATGAGTAATTTTAAACCACTCCTTGCTTTGGTTTTCATTAATAGCTTGCAGAATAGCCATGTACTTAACAGTCCGGATCCTCCTAACACATCCTCTTATGGGTGTTGTGTCATGAGCTAACTGAATAATGATCCAGATGTATCAGTCTTGTTTGATACATTATCATGGTGATAAAAATTTGCTATTGGAGTCAATATATGGCATGCATCTAGGCATATGTATGTGCATGAGTGTCTGCACAAAAATGTTGCACATTTGTGAGTAATCAGGAATTGATAATTTCTTCAAGATTTGGAATTCCTAATTGAGATATAACATGCGCACTTGTGCTCACACACAGATTTTGTCTAGTTCTGTTGAGAATTTTGGTCTTTAACAATGTTGCTTGCTAGATTACGTTTGCCATTCCTTCCAAATGTAACTCCATAGATTTTTATACTTGGCTTACTTTTACTTCCAGCGACTGCTACCTGCCACTCCATATCACTTTTGAAATTGAAGTTAAAGGACATCATTAAAAAAATGGTTATTGTTTGGTGATCGATTGGTCTATCTGATGAAGCCGATTCAACTGCGTACTTTTTTTATTTTTTCCCTCAATTTTTCAAGTGATATTGTAGTCAAACCATGAGTGTCTGAAGTAGCTAAACTTGATGATGTAATGTTCCCAGCCAATCAGAATAAAATGTTTATATTTGAGTTCATCATGTTTGGACTACTCAATAAGAGCAGCATGAATTCTTCTTCTTCTTCTTTTTTTTTTTTTTGGTCCCTTTTTTTTTCTTTGCTTACATTAGCCATTAGTGGGAGGAAGGATCTATATTTATAGGCAAATGGTAGCAACATCTGCTGCTTCTTGGACATGCTATTTGCATTTTGCTTACAAATTTTTATTTTTTCTTTTGGTATCTTATCTTCTTAATATCATAACTGTATTGCAGAATCCTCAAGGAATTCTCGGAATATTGAGGATAATGTGTGCATGAAAAGAGTGATAGTTTCAGCGTCTGTGCTCTCATTTGGACAAATCTCATTTTTAACTTCTGCACAAGTGGCAGACGCTGGAGAAAGCATCAAACCAGAAGCACTTTATGAGGTTGGGGAGTTATTTGAATTGGGAATCCAGCTCTCTTATCTGCTTTTACTACTAGCTTTGCTTGGGGTTGGAACTTTCTTTGTGATTCGTCAAGTCCTAATGCGCAGAGAGCTCGACCTTTCTGCTAAAGAATTGCAGGCAGGTTCCTCTTTGTTAATTTGTATTATGCTTTTTGAGGATTTTACTCTTTTCCAACACTGACATTTATTACAAAACCATCTTGGAAATTCTTAGATCTTTAGATGGAGAGATCAAGTTGTTTTGAAAAGAAAAGATCCATTTGGTTTCTCTCTCTCTTACTCACCTTCCCCACACCCATCTCTTGTTTAATTGCGAGCAATGGCCATCTGCATTTTGCTGAATATGATCTTATTATCTTGTTGTGTTTGCCCTTTTTAATTTCAGGAGCAAGTAAGGAGCGGTGATGCCACTGCTACTGGACTTTTTGAACTTGGTGCAGTAATGCTGAGGAGAAAATTTTACCCTGCTGCTACCAAATATTTACTTCAGGCAATTGAAAAATGGGATGGGGATGATCAAGATCTTGCCCAGGTATGATTGTATCTTTGTTCCTTCGATATTTTGCAAGCACCAACAAATGTTGTTGCCTCGGGTAATTGCATCTTGTTTGACATAACATTGCATGTGTTGCCTTAGGATAAATGCCATGCAACATCAAGTTTATTTTCTCATCAATAAAAAAAAAAAAATGGAATAGGAAATGTTCATATGCTTACTCAGATTGGATGGTAAAGTTCATATATTTAGATATGATCTGTAAAAACATCTACCGAATGTTTTAATGTTGGTTCACTGTATTTTGGAAATTTACCATTACTGCAGGCTGTTACTGCAACCTTTTGCCTGTATCCAACACTGAGCCTGAGAAAGCTGTAATAATCAAGTTTGGCAAATTGTGAAAAAAGCTTAGGAGATCAGAAATCAGAAATCAATTAAGATCCTTTTTTAAAGTTTTTTTGAGCAATTAATATAAGATATGGAGTACGCGATTCTGTATTTTGCATCGGTATGATAGCACTATGGGTGCATGACTATGATGATAAATTCATTTTTACCTTTCAAATATTTGGATAGGTTTACAATGCCCTTGGTGTTAGTTATACTCTAAATGGGAAGCTTGACAAGGGAATCAAACAGTTTGAAGCTGCTGTGAAGCTTCAACCAGGCTATGTAACAGCCTGGAACAATCTCGGTGATGCCTACGAAAAGAAGAAAGACTTGAAGTCAGCTCTTAAGGCATTCGAAGAAGTGCTGCTTTTTGATCCTAACAATAAGGTGGCAAGGCCCAGAAGAGATGCTTTGAAGGATAAGGTACAAATGTACAAAGGAGTTCCAATCAAGTCTAAGGATAGATAGATGTATTTACCGTCATAAGCTTATCAATTTTTGTGTCATCTTAACCAATCCTCAACTTTTGTTCCTCTAATATTCCCTCACTCACCATTTATTTTTATTTTTATTTTTGAACTTTTGCCTGAATCACATGTCCAAACTTGAACAACCCTTTTCATGTCTGGATAATTGAATATATAATTCTCAGTGTTTTAGCACTTGGGAAGAGTTTTAGTTCACCTTTCCATCATCGTATAGAAGTTTATCATTATTTGGGGAAAGATGGAGCAATATCAATGTTAATTATGCTAATGGATGGTTTATGAAGAGATCACTTTCACTTCTTTATGCTTAAAGAGGACATTAAAGAAAGGAATAAAATGCTAAAGGTGCCCTTGCAAAAACCAGCAGCCTTTACTTTTGTGTTATGGTTAGTATTCTTTTTCCTCAAAAGGGCGCACCAACAGCCAATGAGTTCATGGTTCTTTTCTTGGAATTCATCTTCCAATAAAAGAATCTATTTTTCTTCTCACTATCAACAGCTTTCAGCATCCACTTCCCGTCACTGCATAGGTCATTTTATGAAATCATCATGCCAAGTTCTTCCTTTGTCCCACTACACCAATTTTATGGCCATATGTTAGAGTCATGTCTGTTTTTGTTTTGGCCCACAACTCAATAATTTTTGCAGGTTCGTTGAACTGAAAAAAGAAAAAATAGAACTAATCCGAAAATGTAATTGTGTGTTTGGTTTTGTTAATAAATCATCATTGGGTGTTCCAATATGGATCTGCCAAGCGTGATTGCATTGGTAGATGTAATAATCAGTGATTTCTGGAATGCTCATAAAAACCAACCTAGCCTTGTTGATTATTAATGAATTTGCCTTTTTATATTATTATTTACGATTTATATTTTAGAAAATATTATAAGAAAAATGTTTCTTTATGAATTCATCTATATGAAATCGTCTCCTAAGGATTCAATGGAATGGAAATTTCATTCGATATATGAAAACTTATTCGAAAATATCTTTAAAATTATATGAAAATCAATGGCTTGGATGAGGGCACCAGACAAAGTGTTTGAAAATAAAATTTTTAGGTATGGAAGGATAAGCATGGTCTACTAAAATAAAGGTACTTCCCTTCCATTATTGTAAATGAAGGAGACGACAAATGAACCAAAAGTTTGATTATATAGTTGCCAAATGTGAATTGACAAATAGAGTTGTCCGTTGCCACGCTATCTCATCACCTTCACTAACATAGCTAAAGATTGATGCACAAGGTAGTCCTAGGACTAATATATAACCTCATAAGTTTTGGTGTATCCATATTATATATATTTAATTTAGTTGAATTCAAGATGTTTAAATCGGAGCTATAAAATTCATAAATTTTATGTTTTCATGCATATATTAAAAAAGAAAAAAAAACTGTCAAATATCGTCAGAATTTACCCTCATAGTTCATTTTTTAATCTATAATTATTTAGCGGTAAATTTAAATTCGTCGTTGATTTTCGTGATTATATATATATATATATATATATATATATATTTTCAGTGGAGGTACATCCCCTTGATCATCATCTGCTAATACGCACGTAAACCCTATCATCATCATCACCACCATCGTTTTTTTTTTTTCTCCCTTGGCTCGTTGGGTATCGAATCTGTGCGTGGCCATGAATAATGAATGAGGTGGGTCAAGAGGGGGTGGTGGGGGTTGTAAGCCGACTTTTCATTCGTAATAAAAGGGCTGCCTGCCATGCATGAGCATAAATGAAGTGACTGACCTCCTTTCCTTATTCCTTTACGCGGTGAAAAGACAGCTTCACAGTTTATAGCAAGCCGAATTGTTGGTTGAATTTGTATTACCAGTATTTGGATTCTGAACTAGACTAATTGGTTAAAAACTTTTCTAAATTATTTGTCCAAATAGGAAACTAGCAGCTTCTAATCTTACTACTTATTTTGATTTAGGTTTTGAATATATATATATATATATATATATAGTTTTTGCTCCAATGATTTTCTTTTTCTTTTCGGTTTATCGTCATTACTTACAGTGAAAATCAAGACAATACAAATACCATAAAGTTGAGGAATACCATGTAATGAATATGTTTAACCTTTTTAATGATCTTGAATTCCGATCTTGGTTATGAACAACTTTTAAAAATAATTTCTACTTGTAAGATAACATTTTATATCTCATATATGGTATTTAATGCATAGTAGTCTTGTCCTAAAAGATAGATTTTTTATTTTTATTGTCTTGCTAACTAAGTTTCCACGTGTGACTCGAGAAACATAGTACATGGGAATTTGTGAACTTTGCATTTTCTATTTTTAATTTTCTAGACTGGAAAAAAGAAAAAAAATGAAAAAAAGAAATAGATTGGAGGTGGTGTAGCTTCCTGGTAGCTGGCTAATATCCCACTCCCCCAGTTAACCCTCCCCAAAACTAATAACAAAATTAGTTGATGGTTATCAATTCCTCTGTTGATTCATTCAAGTACTAAAAAAAAAAAAAACACAGAAACCTAGTCAAAATGCAATGCAAATGAGTGCAGACGCATCAAAGAGAGAATCTTCCTGAGTTGTATGGGACCCATCTCTATCCAACCCAATGAGAGTTCACAAAAGTTTGTCTTTTTTAGTCAATGCGTCCACTTACCCCTCATCTGATTGACCCAACAGACGGTTCTGATTAATGGGTTCCCATCGATCGAATCAGAAGTGACAAACTAACGATCCTGATTAAGGGGGTTGATTTATTTGTGGTGACACTGTACCCTCCTTTGTAACAGAGACTTTTGCTGATATATTGATGCTGTCAGAGCACAATTTTTCTTTTTCATTCACTTTCTCAAAATTTATGGAGCAGCAAAGTTGAAGCAAATTGTGTCTTGAATCTGGTGAGACTCTTGCTTCTCTTTGTTTTAATTTTATTGTAAAGGTTGCTGCTTTTTATGGTTTCATACAATTATATGACTCATGTTCATTAGTGTTGGTCTCAAGTTATATGCTTTTGATTTGGGATGTTTTGATGAGTGATTGCTTTAATGGGTTTGTGTACGAGTTTTGGAATTATATTTGGAGAATTGGGTTAGTCATTAAATTGAAAAAAGATGGGATTTTTGGGATGATTTTCGCTTTGTGTCGATATAGATTCTTGTTTGTAACTCTTTTTTTTTTAAAAAAAAAGAAAAGAAAAGAAAAGAAAAGATTGGGGATCTTTGCTTAGTAAAGTTTGGATTTCTTTTAAGTTATATGAGCTTAATAAAATTGATTATGGGTTAAATGAGAGAGAATTGGGATCTTGAATTAGAACGAGGGGTTTGACTTTAGATGCAAAAAGTTGGGTTTTAATTCTGTCTTTGCATTGAGGGATGCTGATCTCATCAGCAAATGTGTTTAGGAAAATTGTATGCTGATTTTCTATCATGACAAGAGAAATCAACAGTGTGTTTCGAAAAATATTGGGTATTCAGGGGAAAAATGGTAATGACAGGTTAATTGATTATGATTTTGGTCTTGTAATTCTTGTTTAGAGATCAGGTTTCCAAGTTAAGAAATTTATTTTATTTTATTTGAGATTTGCTTACGATTTTGATGAAGATTTTCTAATTCCTGAAAAATTCCAGCTTTTTGTTAGCATTGATCCCCATTTTGAGAGGAGGAGTGCATGATGGAACCTAAAGATAGGCTGTGTCTAGATGCATGGACAAATCCTTCATCCTCTAGTATTGGATTACCGAGAAAGATGTCCTCGGAGAATCCATCCTTCACCAATTTCAATTTACAGCAGCAGGAGCAGAAGTGGGAGGACACCTCCATTTTAGATTTTGGTATTAGGATTGAGCCACCTTTCCAAGAATTCAACCAAGCATCTGAATCCGAATATTTGCTTCCTTCCAACCGCAACAACCAAACCAAAGTCCTGGATCAAGAAGATGGACAAAATAACGAGACACTTCAAACAGGCAAAATCCAAGACTGGGATCCAAGTGCCATGCTCAATAATCTCTCTTTTCTAGAGCGAAAGATTCATCATCTCCAAGATTTGGTGCATTTAATTGTTGGCCGCAAAGGCCAGGCTCTGGGGGGACAGGATCAACTTGTAACTCAGCAACAACAGCTCATAACTGCTGATCTCACTTCGATAATTGTTCAGCTGATCTCTACTGCAGGTAGTCTTCTCCCGTCTGTGAAACATACACTTTCTACAGGCAATCCTAATGGACAGTTTGGACAGCTTGGAGGACTTCTTTTTCCTCCTGTGGCTGGCATGAATTGTAGTCCACAGCCACAACATGGTAGTGAAAGTAAAGTGGTACCATCTCAACATCCCACTGGAAATAAAGTTTCTGATCAGTCCCACCAGATGGATGTTATGGGTAATTGTGGGACTGAACAGAACCACTCCATCGAAGAACATGAAATGAAAGAGGAAGAAGATGCTGATGAAGGAGAGAACCTTCCACCTGGTTCCTACGATATATTACAACTCGAAAAAGAAGAAATACTTGCGCCGCACACCCACTTCTGCACAATATGTGGGAAGGGGTTCAAGCGGGATGCAAATTTGAGGATGCATATGAGAGGCCATGGTGACGAGTACAAGACCGCTGCTGCACTTGCAAAACCCAACAAGGAATCCAGCTCAGAACCAGTGATTATTAAGAGGTATTCCTGCCCTTTTACTGGTTGCAAGCGAAACAAGGATCACAAGAAGTTTCAGCCTTTGAAGACTATTTTATGCGTCAAAAACCATTACAAGAGAACCCATTGTGACAAAAGCTACATTTGCAGCAGATGCAACACCAAGAAGTTCTCAGTTATAGCAGATCTCAAAACTCATGAGAAGCATTGTGGCAAGGATAAATGGCTTTGTTCCTGTGGCACAACATTCTCAAGGAAAGACAAGCTTTTTGGACACATAGCTCTGTTCCAAGGCCATACTCCTGCTATTCCTCTTGAGGAAAGTAAAGGACCAGCTGTGTCATCTGATAAAGTGGATGGGAACGAAGCAGCAAATAAAGTCAGAAACATAAATTTCAGCCTTGGCTCCAGTGCTTCTACCGGAAGTGTGGCTCAAAATGCTATGGAAGTGAAGGAGGATGCTGATGATCCTGCTAGTTTTTTCTCACCATTGAGCTTTGATACCTGTAATTTTGGTGGATTCCATGAGTTCCCTCGACCCCCATTTGATGATTCAGAATCTTCATTCTCATTTCTTCTTTCTGAATCCTGTAATTATGGTCAGAAAACCGGAGGGGAGTCTACTTCTACTGATCTCCAATAACATATATAGTTATTTTAGTATTAGCTCATTATCAGGGATCTCAGATTTCAAATCGTTTGTCATATTTGTAAGGTGAGGCAGTCCCATGTAATTTCACGTGTTCAAATAAATGTTTGTTATTTAGCCATTTTCTTATTGGTAAATTTTGATACTGCAACTTTATCGAAGGTTCACGCCTGTTACATATTACAACATGAAATTTAGTTTGACAACAGAGAGATTTGTGATGATTCATTATATTATAAAACAAACTAAAGTAAAATACTATTTATTTTACTATTTAAAATACTATTTATGTACTCATTAATTATTATTCTTTTTACTATTCATGTCATTTTTTTAATATTTGGATCCTCAAAATTTTTAAATAATTTTTTTTCAATTTCAAATTTTAATTATATTGTTATTTGATCTCATTTTGTTATAATTTTTTTTATAAATTTTTTTTATTATTTAAAATTTATTATTTTAATTAGTCATTTTTAATTTTTTTTTCAATTTCAAACTTTAATTTGTTAATTATTTTTATTATTTAAAATGTACTACTTTAATTTGTCGTTTTGTTTTTAATTCTCTCTTCTTCTTTTTTTCAATTACAAACTTTAATTATATTGTATTTTGGTCCCATTTTATTTTAGAATTTTTTGTTAATTATTTTTATTATTTAAAATTTACTACTTTAATTTATTTTTTTTTTTAAATTCTCATTCAATTAATTTAAAATTATATTTACTAACAGTTTTGATTTATTTTTCTATATGTATGGATTTTGAAATAAATTTTTAGGACATGATTATTATTTTTTTTTTGAAAAATAGATTTAGATCAATTTTAAATTATAGTGGCACGACTAATATATATAATTTGTCTAAAATACATTTTTAAATTAAAAATATATTTCAAATAATTTTTTCTTAGTTTTTTATATTATTTAAAATTTACTACATTAATTTTTCTTCTTCTTCTTCTTTTTTAAATTCTCTTCTTTTTGTTTTTCAATTTCAAACTTTGATTATATTGTGATTTTATCACATTTTGTTTTAGAGTTTTTTGTTAAATATTTTTATTATTTAAAATTTACTACTTTAATTTAACATTTTTTTCTTAAATTCTCATCCGATTAATTTAAAATTATATTTACTGAAAATTTTGATTTATTTTTTATATTTATGCATTTTGGAATAAATTTTTAGAACATGCTTATTATTATTATTATTTTGAAAAATAGATTTAGATACTTTTTAAATTATAGTGGAATGATTAATATATATATATATATATATATATATATCGAATACATATTTAGATTAAAAATGTGTTTCAAATATTTTTTTCTTGATTTTTTTATTATTTAGATTAATAATTTTTCATTTTATTTTAATTCTCTCTTCTACTTCTTCTTCTTTTTTTTTTTTTCAATTTCAAACTTTGATTATATTGTGATTTCATCCTATTTTGTTTTAGTGTTTTTTTTTATTATTTTTATTATTTAAAATTTACTACTTTATGTCATTTTTTTAAAATTCTTATCCAGTTAATTTAAAATTATATTTACTAACAGCTTTTGATTTATTTTTCTATATGTATGGATTTTGGAATAAATTTTTAGAACATGATTATTTTTTCTTTTAAAAATAGATTTAGATAAATTTTAAATTATAGTGGCATAATTAATATATATAATTTTTCTAAAATACATTTTTAGATAAAAAAATGTATTTCAAATAATTTTTTTTATTTTTTAGAAAAAACTCTAATTAATTAATTAATTAATAGTTGAAAGTCAAATGTGAAAATAAAAAGAAAATGATTGCTCAGTGCGTAAGGCCTATATTCAAGGACTAGCCATGCATAATATAGAAATTAAAAAAAATATATTTAAGGAGGAAAAAAAAAGAATATACATGTTTCATTAATTTGTTTCTTCTTTATATAATCAAAATTATTTGAAATAAGATTTGTAATAATTTTTATTTTAGTCTATTAACTTCAAATTTAGTCAATATATTCCTTGCAAGTTAACTTTTTATAGTATTTTTTGTTTTACATTGAAAACTCTAAACTCACCGGGTATATTTATGATGTATAAAAAAATATTGAATTATTAGTTTTTTTTAGAAATCAACTGTGCAACTACTACTACATTAAGCATTTACTACTTATTTATTTGTTTCGAATACTTTAAAATTGACTTATTTTAAATTAAATAATTAAAATAATGTTTTGGTTTAACCACTCAATGATTCAAATTAATGAAGTTTTTTATTTTAATATTATTCAATCTTTTTGTAAATAAATATATAAAAATTAAATTCACATTTGTTTTCAAATCGATACTCTCATCAACATTAAATAAAAAAAATTATTTATTCAATTCTATATAAGCTTTTAATAATTGTTATTTTTTTTTTGACACAATCTTATGAAATACTAAAACTTTTTTATAAAAAAATTATTTATTTATTTTTGAGTTAATGATTCATGGATTAACAAGGATGAATCCTCTTTTTAAAGGAAAAACTATGAAAAACACAAGTAAGAAATAGTTAAATATAAAATTTTTTATTAAATAATTTTTTACACTTTTGATTTCTTATATTTTTATAGATTCATATTATAAAACAAACTATCAAATTGAAATGATTTTTTCCAAACGATTTTATATATTTTATTCAACCTGCAGACTTAATTAGAACAAAAAAAAAAAAAAAAAAACTTACTAAGTAATTTGGAATATGTGTCTAAATAAACAGCATTGCGAGAGGCCCAAAAATTTTCAAATCTGGTTTTTGAAGTTGAAAGTAGGTTTTGTTATGTTTAATAGGTAATCGTACTGTTTTGGAAGGGGCTATTTCCATGCAGCATTCGTTGCTTTCAGGCTTGTTATTAGTCAGTTTACGACTCTACTTCGACAACTTCCACTGCATGGAAGCAGACAAATGCTACCCACCCAGCTCATCCTCTTTCTTGTTTGTTTCTCTTTCAGGCTCTCAACTTCAAAGAATTCCTTAATAAAGAAGTTTTTGATGTAAAGCTTGGCAAACTGGCAACTTTCACATCACAACTTGTGAGTTGTGACATGCTCAGGAATCTGGGAATAAAACCAAATATAATGAATAAAATCAAATATAATGAATGAATCATGCATTAAGAAACCAGGCACTGCAGATTTTTTGTCCAGAAAAAAGAAAAAAGAAAAAGAAAAAGAGAAGGTAACCAGGTGGAATTACACAATTAATAAAGAGTATGAGGTGAAATTACATTTTTATATAACTCAAATAAGTTTTTAAAAAATAAGGTTTTGTTGTGTGGTATTAGTGTTAAATGTAGATAAGTCGAGATTTATTAATAAAAACTGTTAAAAACCAGAAAAAAGGCTGACCAAATCTACTCTACACCAAAAGAAGAACTCAATAAAGAGTTTTAGATTGATTTTTTCAAGAATCAAAACATATATTTTTAAGTGATTTTGAATGATTTATGATAAAATAAGGAAATATGATGTTGAAATCCCACAAAATTATGATCGAACTCCATCTCTTCATAGCAAACAAATCTGCTTGATCTCAAACTAAACAGGATTTCATTTAGTGGGAAAAATGTAAAAAAGATGATGTTGAAATCCCAGTCACTACCTAAAAAAGAAAACTTATTGTGCAAAAGAATCGCTGTTAGGATCCGGAAAATAATATGATCATCCCATATGAACAATAACCTGTGTGCTCTCCAAGACAAAAAGTAGCCAGCAAACAAGTCAACTTCAACATTGAATTGCTGAAAGAAAAACCTAAAACATGCTATATTATCCTCGTTCTAACTGAACAAACTACATTGTTCTGACTGATTAATCTGCCCATACTGAGAATTGTGGAGCAGAATGAGCTTCAAGCCCTTTGCACCTTCTCCTTTTGATGATTTCTTTGAAGGGCTTCGGTAATACCTTTCCTTCAAAACTAAATCGTCCAAGACAGACCAAGTATGTCCTCTAGGAGAGCTGTCAGCCCACAAGAACCTCTCAGAGAATGGGTTCACCAGACTGTCACGAAATTCCTTGGCTGTCTCACAAATCAACCCCTGAACCAAACACAAATACGTTGTCAATTTCAAGTGTAAGATTATGAAGACAAAGGGAGAGAGTCGGCAGCAAGGTACCTCTGCCATGGCCTTGATCTTCAAGGTTACGTCATTACTGAGAAGGATGAACTGTCCATCTCTATACATTTTCCTGTAGGAAAGAGCATATTCAAGGATATGGTCTTCCGATGTTGGTGAAACAATTTCTAGCAAACTTCCACACGGTAACCCCTCGCTTCCCTGACTGAATCGTGAATGCGGAGAAGCAGGCGGGGTTGGTGCTATTTGCCTTCCCTCCTCCAGTGAGCTCTGGACATGAATCCACCATGGTGTTCTCACCATACACTCTTCTATCCATTCTAACACCAATGATGCCTCCGTTTTTCTTCTGAACAAGCTACCACGACGCTTTAAACAATCTAATTTCCTTATGACTGACAGTATAAAACAGTCACCGATATTTGTCAGAAAAGAAATTTTGTAAGAACATATATAGTTCTACAATTAGAACAAGAGAGGTGAATTGAAAATTGTTTGGAATTTATTTACCCAATTTTGGAATGACTAAATGAGTTCCCTTGAGGCCTTGTAAAAGCTCTAATGACTTCCTTGACTCCGTGTCCAGAAGAGAAACGGTATCTGCTACCACAGTCCATCTTCTCTTTCCATCTGCAGCGAAGTTGCTCTGCACATGAACTCCAGTTATTAACCTAGTTAACAGGAGTAAAATGTTGAAATTAAAACAGAGCAGAGTTTTGTTACCTTCTGCCTAGTTTGAGAACACTTAAAAGAAGCACTGCTTCTTGTAGCATCATTAGGGACTGAAACTTCAGAAATGCTTGTTCCTGAGAAATTCACTAGTAAAGATTGTAATGGAACTCTTTCCTCCCCACTCTCCTTCACTACCATGTCTTGTTTGAATTTCACTTGATTCTTTGAAGCCGCTATCAGTGATTTTCTTTGTTGGAGAACTTTAGGTGTCTGGTTCTCTTTGTCTGAAGAGGCAATCACCTCTCCTTCTGGCTGTGTATTGGGACTAAAAGTAATTTTTGAAGTGGGTGATCTGCATGAGTTGGAAAGTTGTGCCCCTTCTCGCTCACCCTTCTTTTTCAAGGACTTGAGCAGAAGAGTATTTGGGGAGTAATTCTCCTTGCCTGGAGTAAGGATTTCTTCTGCTGCTTCTAAACCAGGGAAAAGAGTCTTTGAGATCGATTTATTCTCAACATTCTCCTCATTGTCCAATTCAGTATCAGCCCCTCTATTCTTTCCTCTACTCCTGCTTGTTTGAAGCCGAAGAACAGCATTGGGTTTACCTCTTCTGGACCAGATGTCATACGAGTTCAGTTTTTTCTCTGACCTGACATGAGAGCTCTGTAAGTTTTCAATTGAAACGAAGACAGATTCTGGGGTCTGGCATTTTTTTTGGTCCCCAATCTCAGAGAGGACTCCAGCTGGCAAAGATGAGCTCACAGATTCTGCTGCAAGGAGTGCAGAACAGACGCTAGTATATTCACTCTGTCCATGGTCATCCCTTGAAAGACTCAGGTTTCCCGCTTCAAGCATATCAATGGCAGCATGATCATCAAAACATGCAGAGTTCAGGTTCGCCAGCAGATTTGCAGTGAAAATCTCTTGGTTTCCTTCATCATATGTTGGCTGTAAATCATCAAGATACTCTGGAATCTGATTTTCTTTACCGACTTTTTCACTGTCATTTTCTGGAAGATCCATTGCTGGCAAAGATAAGTTCACCATTTCTATCCCAAGAGAAAAAATATCCATCTGTTCACGGTCTTTCCTCAATAAGCTTCCGTTTTCTGTAGCTTCTAATGTCTCAGAGGCTGAATGAGCTTCCACTTTTGCAGTAGACAAGGAAGAAAACACAGCATTGGATTCTCTGGTCCTTAAACTATCTTTGGTTTCTGTATCTGTCAGATCTTGTTGAACAGAATAATAGTCAGGGCTCTGGTTGTGTCCATCAAATTGCTGACTCTTGGTTTCCGAAATAACTCCCTGGACAGTTGTGGGGCTTAATGAGCTTTCTATATCTTCCTTTGTATCATAAAACAAAGAATTCATGCTTTCGTCAGGCATTAAAGCAGCTGATGAGATCTCATTCTTTGCGACTGACTCACAAATCTCATGACAATATAAGGAGACTACATCCTGTAAAATTAAATCCAAAGACTGAGTTTCTTCATTTTCAACTGATATAGAATCCATGGCCTGCACAAGACCAACAAAAATGCAGGAATATAACTCATTAGCTACCACTTATCCACATTTCTACTGCTTCAACCATAAATCCTTACCTGATATCTTTCTTCATCTTTTCCTGCCACTCCCAGCGAGCCTTTCTCTTCAACTGCTTCTCTTTCAGTTGCCGATAATAAGTTTTCATCCTATACAACCCAACATGAGAAACATCCATCAAAATTAACAAACGCTTAAAACAAAAAAACCATCAAGCAATCAATTCTCACCTATAAAAATTGAAAACAATTATAACCTACTCCATGTTTACATTCTAATGACGGTAACGAGGGGCCAGATCCTCTTACCTGAGACATTTTCCCTTCGGCAGGTTTCCTTTCAGTTGCCAATAAATTCTCATCCTATACAGATCCAACCCAAAGGAGGGAAAAAAAGACAGAAGCGTCACTTCAAGAGAAACCAATCATTCTAGATGAGCCACCAACAATCAACTCCAAATTCTCATGAATCAACTCCGAATTCTCATCAGACGAATTCCAAAATTTTTTTTGAGAATAACTAGCAAACATCAGGTAGACATTCTAGATATATAGTAACCAAAGCATGATTCCCTCACCTGAGACATTTTCACTTCGTTTTCTTCTTCAGGCGCTGAATTCTCCTCTCGCTTATCTTCAATCATTGCCACATTTGATGGTGATATAAATGAGGTTTCCATGTCATATGCGCGGCTCAAAGGGACCCAATGTAGCCTGTAGACTCTAGTTGAGCCACCAACCTTTATTGTATCACCTTCATTGAGCTCTACACGAAACCCTGGCTCAATCTTCTTCCCTGAAATCCAAGTCCCATGGACTATACAAGAACCACGAACCCCATCAAAAACAAATTAAACCCAATTTGAAGGAGCACAAATTAACAAGAAAAACAACAAAAAGAGAAGAAAGAAATTAAGAACTCAATTGTCACATGCTAAACAGTAATTCATGAAAGAACTATAAAAATTAAACCCAATGACAACCCAAATAGATGTAAATATAAACCAAGAACAGATGACAAATGAATTCTCAAATACTTGATACTATAAAGGCATAGTAATACACAAGAAGAAATCCTTAAAAGCCAAATTTAGTGACAACCTCATAGACCCTAAAATACATAATAATGAAAAAACACATCAAGAACCAAGAACCCAGTTCAATGATAACCCAAATATGCTAAATAACAGCGAGAAATATAGACCAAGAACACATAACTACTCAATTTTCAAAGAATTAATCCAAGAATCAAGATCAGGAGCAAATAACACAAGAACCCATCAAGAAACAGGACCCCCAACTAAAATCTACCGTGAAATTAACATAACGAAAGCAAACTGAAATTACCAGAAGATAAATCTGTGACAAACAGCTTCTGTGAAAAGGGTCTTGAATTGATTCGAAGGTGGAATCTGCTAATGCTAGGGTGATTTAAAACAATATTGCAGTCTGGGTGTCTACCAAAACTCAAGATTTCTTCAGTTTCTTGAACTGGGTTCTCTTCATTTTCAAGAGACGGCTCTGATGATGTTGGTGATGGTAATGGGGACTTGTTAATTACAAAAATATTCTTGAGAATTGCACCGTTCCTTAGTACGGTAAAAACTGGGATCTTTCTCTCTTCTCGTCTTTCTGGATTTTTCTCTCTGTTGCTTGCCATCTCTGGACGACTCTCTTTCTTGTGTTTCTTGAGAGAGAAAACAAGACTCTTGGTTTTAGAGAGAGAGATAGAAAAAGATTTTATATGGTTATGTTGTGATGCTTCTTGAAGAGAAATAGAGAGTTTGATTTTGAAATTTTATTTTAAAAAAGGTGACCGTTAGGGATTTTTAGGTTAATACAACGGCTATTTATCTCATTTTGTTGCTGGACGGCGAAAGATTTGTAATGCTAGTGTGTAATGCTAGCGTTATTGATGAATGTTGTTATAGCCAACTGTTGGCTTGCATGTGGCAGGACGAGGGCATTGATGTCCTTATGTTGAGGAAAGACAAGGCCAAATTACTCAAGAGTACAAAGGGATCATGGAATCGACAAAACTTTAGGGACGTGTCATATTGCGAGACGCTGGGTGTTATGATATTGTAGAGTTGGACACAGTTAATTGAACACTCTGACTTCGTGAAAAATTTCATATTCTGTGGAAAATAATTGCAACCAGAAGCCATCATCACAAAAATACATAACTAGCCGACCCGGGTTTCAAAAATATTTGCAATAAAGATGATTTACTATCAATTGAAAATTGTTTTTTTCTTTAATCTAAAGAAATTGACCTGATAGTTAAAAGGTTTGTTTTCTTCTTAACCATCCTCATGTCAAGTTCTGATAACATTAAAAAATTTGAGCTACTAAACCTAGAAGAAAAGGATGGATTTGGTATAACAGAATGACACAACAAAGAACCTGTAACTGAGTGGTAGTCAACTCTTGCAACAAGAAGTCACAGGTGTAAATTCTAACAAATTAGTTCCATCAAAAGATTTTGATGACGCAACAAAAAATTCAGTGCTATCAATTTCTTCGGCATCTATGCTCAGCAATGGCGAAAAAAAGGGCAATCATTCTGGCGTAAACTCAGATAAAAGAATGGTTTCTGGAAACATAAGGATAGAATATAGATCGGTCAGTGATCTTTAGTTATTTTCCCCGACATTCGGCAAGAATGCTAGACATTCAAACATAAACGTCCCATGCATGAGAAGGAATGTTTTAGAATGAACGCACAGTTCTCATTAACGAGAAAGGCCGAACACCCCAAGTTCTAAGAAAAGAAAATTCAGACTCAAAATGATTCATGAGCGGCTGCAAAGCATATCAAAAGAATTATAGTTGAAGTTAACTGAATCCAATGTACTAGTGTACAATGTAGGATTGCAGAACCCTGGTGATATTTTACACCATTCAAAACTGAAGAGAAGGAGGGAACAAAAAAGGTAAAAAAAGGTATATCCCCAGTCTAACTTGTAACAGCAAAACTGCCTCAAGGGAAGAAGTGGCTCTTCGATCTTTCTTACAAAGCACAGAGCAGCAGGCAAAAGAAGATCAATCCTGCTTGTTATTTTCACGAGCCAGCCTAGCATGATGTCTTAGCTCAGCCCTTTTCCACCGAACAATCATATAGCACAAGGAAAAGAGGGTGTTTATCTGCAAAGAAGATAATAGGATCAGAATGAATGGAAAAAAATGAAGCAGATTAAAAAGGTGACTGCAAACACTCACCAGAATAATGGTTGCAATGACAAGAAGAGGCCCAGACCAGAGTACTGAAAGAAAAAGTCCATGCGGATCAAAGTAATTTTGGCTTGCAAAGCTCCTCCAGTTGTCACCGAGGATTCTATTAAGCCTCTCTGCTAAGTATACACCAGCCACTACATGACATCAAATCACTAAATAAGATCAGATATCCAATGATTTCAGCAGAGAGCATGGAAAGTACAATAGAAGAATACATCACTGCATGCTAGTATGAACTCAGATTCTGGAATAGACATTGACCTCACCCACAGAAATACAAATTGATAAAAAATTGATATTGGGGAGTGAAGAGAGTTATTTCTTATTTGGCATTGTGAACTACAAGCAGTGGTTGGCCAACTGTTAGAAAATTGATTTTTGGGAAACATAGAGTTATGACCTAAAAAACTAGCTTTAAGTGTCTTTTATTGCTGGTATGAAGAGTTTGGTGGCTCAATATTAAAATTAAGAACACAACAAATATAGGATTCTAGACTCAAGATAACTTTCTGACTCCATAACTGGTGTCGGTTTGAAGGCTCTTGAAGCCTGTAACAATCTCTCATAGTCTTTTCTCCGCCAAGAGCTTGAAGGAAACATCTTGGCAATTTTAGCTGTCTAATTTCCGAAAATGCAACACAGACAATGACAAAGAATTGATTCAAATTTCTAATATTTAAACACACACACAGAGACACTGGTTTGTTACGATTCGCACAGCCTCTCAGATTCATATTGCAAAAAAAGGTCTTTAATGATAAATCCATTTAAAATGCCAGTCCTATACTAAGCATCTTTACACAGTTACATTATCATCATTAGATGGCAATCCATTGTCCAGCATTAGTCATACCAAGAGCACATATATTGACAAGCAGAGTCCTATTAAACTGCCATCCCATGTTGCACAACTAATACATGCACTATGTCTAACACCTTCCATAACTCCAGAAAACAAATCAGCTTCGCTAAATTCAACCGAAGATTTATATGCGGCCATCAATCTTTTCTCTCTCGCACACAATATTTAAGCCAAATTATTAGCAAAAACCAACATATGGCATATAAGAATTGCAATTGCAACTTACATCAAATCTCAAAATGTCCCCCACCACCCAAGAGGAGGGAAAAAAAAAATTAAGCTGCAATTTCTAAAAATGCACAGCGCAACACAAAAAAGCTTCAATCTTGCATGACTAAGTTGCTTAACCTTCAAAAAACAGTCCCTTTTTTTTTTTATGAAAAATCTGACGACCCATTAGTGCATTCAATCCAGATTTACAGTCCCTAAATTGAAAAATGTACTTGATTCGCAATAACAATATTTCTACCAACTGAGTTGAAAAAACAAAAACTTACAAGCTAAAAGGAACAAGGACATCTGGAAGTTAATATGTTTCCTTGAAATAATTGTTAGTATCAGCAACACCAAATGGAATCCTATTAACCCCATCAACCAAGGTTCCTGTCCAACAGAAAAAAAGAAAAATTAAACGTCTGTTTCAATTTAATAATAAAACCTAAAAAGAAAAGTTGTAAAAAAGAATACCGTCCAGTCAATGGCGTGGAAGAAACCAATGAAATTATCAACGGCGGGTCGGAGTCCGGATCGGAGCTCCGAGGAGAGTTTCTGGACCAGATCCGCCATTTGGTCCATGTGAGCTTCCATTGCTGACTTCAGCTCTTCCATATTTCCTTTTCGGCACTCTGCTACCAGAGGATTCTAGTCCTTGTGCTGGTGATTTACCACAGACACTTCTCGTCAATTTCTGTGACTAACCAATTACAACTTAGATTACTCCACGTCACCAAGCTTATGTAGCCTGACCAATTAAATCCTTCCACGATGTCGAGTTATGGCTGGAATTTGATAGTTAACCAACGACTTGTAGTTTAAAGGCAGGGAACGACTTGGCTTTGGAATGATAAAGTGAAGGACTTTCCCACCCCCTCGTTGGTTTTCTTTTGTTTTTGTTTTCTTTTTACGATTAAACCTTGAAGTGCTGTTTGGTAATCAAGAATAGAATAGTGGGAATAAGAATAAAAGTTTTATTCTCATATTATAGCTGTTTGATTAAAAGAAATAAAGTGAAAATAAGAATGAAAATTTACACACAACTTCAATCCCACATAAGATATGAGAATAAAAAATAAGGAATGGAAATAATTTTTTTTTCAAAATAATAATATATTTTATTTATTTATTATCTATTAACTACTTTTGCCACATCACCATTACCACCACCATTACAACCACCATCATAACCATAACCATTATCACTACTAACATCATCACAATCACAACCACCACCACCACAACCATCATTATCACAATCACAACCACCATCACTACCGCCACCGCCACCGCCACCGCTACTAAAACTACCACAATCACTACCATCACCTTTATTATTTTTATAACTATTATAGTTTAATAAAATTATTTTTTAATCATTATTTATATTTGTATACAAAATCGGATATTAAAAAATTTAAATTGCATTCCGATTCCTTATTAGTATTCCAAACATAGTATTGGAATACAAATACCATTCCGATTCCCGCATTCTCATTCCCATCACTTTATTCTTGATTACCAAACAACACCTTAGTGAATAAATTATAAATTATTTTTTCTAGTTTGGAGAAACGAATTAATTAATTTTTTTTCTAAGTCTATTTATTTAGTTTCTATATTTTCAATTCTTTTAACTTAATTTCTTTTTTTTTTCAAATTATTTTGATTTTTTGTTTTGTTTTAAGAGATAGAAAAATAAAAATATATATATAATTAAAAAATATGAAATGATTGATGAGGAAAGAAAACATATTTTGAAATTATGTAATGTTAAATTAAGTATAGTTAGTACTTGGTCGATTAAATAATTAGTTTTCGAAATGAAAGAGACTAATTAATTCGTTTTATAAAAATAAAAGGACTTATTCATAATTTACTCAAACTTTAGTTGGTTATTCACAATCTTATAATTTTATAGGTTGAGAGGAGAATATTAAATTTCAGCATATTAAATATTGAAATTTTCTAAAACATAATAAAGTAAAAGAGTAAATTAAAATTTATATGAAATTTGACATCATGGTTTATTATATTTCCTTAATTTAAATTCTTGACATCATGGTTTAAATTTTCTAAAACATCCCAATTTTTATTGTTATAAGACATTATTAATTCACAAGAACCTATTTTTACAAAATAGTATTATAAACTCAAAGAAGAATCACGCTACTTTGTAACAATAGGTTCTCGAATACAATTAATAAAATCTTCCTTAGCTGTTTTAAGTATTGGGGGCTAATTGAAAATTTTGAAAGCATCAAAGTTTGGTATTGTTAAAATTTAAATTACTATGGTGAACCAAGTAATTAAAAAAAAAAAAAAAGCAATAGCATAGAGATTAAAATAATAAGATATTAATGCAAACATTTGCAAACAAAATATTTAAGATAATAGAATGTTAATGCTAGCATTTGAATTTAAGATAATAGAATATTAATGCTAACATTTGAATCAATATGTAAACTTCAATTAAATTTACTCAATTTTTTTTTTAAATGCATCAAATTAATGTGAATAATCCACCTAAAAGATTATTTGAAAAAAAAATGATATTAATTGATGTGCAAACTGATTTGATGAGATTACTTACAGTTAAATAAATAAAAAATGTAAACTTCGATTTAAATTAACTAAAAAAATTAGGAAGGATGAATTTTGTGTATGCAGGAGAGCCAAATTACATTCGATTGTTTATTAGATGCCGGCTTTAGTGTGTGTGTGTGTGTTTGCTTATCCAATCTATAAATTTTACTACAACTTGGATGTTAAATCCTATGCGGCGATGAAAAGGACATATTTTATGTACCGTACGTGAGGTCGTAGGATTGTAGATCTTTTGCCGTTCTTTAAGGAGGGCAATGATAGCAACATGATCTATATATATAAGTTAATTAATTCTATTATATGCATCGGGGACATATGAAATGGTCAATTTGATTGTTATTATCTTATACTCCATATACTACAAATATTCAAATGGCGGTTCCTCATTGAAACTACCAATTTATTTTAGTTTTGCTAGCTATTTTTTTTTGTATTTTATTTTTCTATCTTTGGGTTAAGGATATTTCTAACTAGATTAAGTTTATTTTTTTGATCAATTTAAATATAAGTTATTTATATAAAAACAAGAAATTCATAAGAATTTACTTCTCCGTAATCGAATTTGAGATTTGAATCCTAATATAAAAATTACACTTTTTTTTTTTTTAATTTTTCTATGATATTCCCATTCTACATTGAAGATAGCACTACCGAGAAAACAAGAGAATAGTGATGAATTATTCCGTCACTATTTAACAAGATTTGAGAGAAAAGAAGAATCAAAAGTCGGTGTTCCTTCTCTCGCTTTTACACTATGTATACAACGGTAACAAACCGACATTTGAAACTAATTTGAAACCGACTAACTAACTCGCGAAGCTAAAATTCCTTAACTAGCCTTAACGAGTTAGAATAAGTAAACAAAAAAATAAAAAACATGTGCAATACACGTGTGTGAGAGATGTTAATACCCCTTCAAGTTGGAGCATAAAGATCCATAATGCCCAACTTAGATAGTTGTAGAGTAAAGGATGCAAGAGCTAGTGGCTTGGTGAAACAATCGGCTAATTAGTTAGCCGAACGGACGAGAACAAGATGAACAATCCCTTGCGAAGCTTTTCCTTCACAATGTGGCAATCAATCTCGATGTCCTTGGTCCTCTCATGGAAGACAAGATTTTTGGCGATATGGATGGCGAGACTAGTTGTCACGATAGATGACTCGCGGAGTGAGGATGAGGTATATGAAGATCTTGTAGGAGATATAAGAGCCATTGTAGTTCATAAGTAACTGCAGACGAGGGCTCTATATTCTGCTTCGGATGAAGACTTGGAAACTATCATCCGTTTCTTAGATTTCCAAGATATGAGAGATGATCCAAGAAAGACATAAAACCCAATGACAAACCTTCCCGTGTCAACACAAGTACCCTAATCAAAATCAAAGAAACCCTTAAGCCGAATCCGACAATTGGAAGCAAAAACAAACCCTAGCCGGGAGCACCATGTGTTAGTTTGTCCGAAATTGAGATAATTATCGGATCGCATATGATAAATCGAGTCTAGTGTTGGTCGGATAGAGCAATCGACCAATCAATCTTCAATAGATAGAAATACCCAACACCGAGCTTGACGAGTAGTTAACATAAGAGATGTGACAAGTTTTGCACCAATAAAACCTATATCTTGCAATAATTTGAAGGCATATTTCCTTTGGCATAAACTAATGCCACGAGAAGATCTTACAACCTCAAGACTTAAGAAGAATTTTAAAATACCCAAATCCTTGATTCCGAAAATGTCATGGAAAAAGACTTTACTCGTTGCAATTTCTCCCATGTTATTAATAGCCAAAATAACATCATCAACATATGTGAGTAATGCAATAAATGATGTGGATGTAGTTTCGACAATGACGAGAGGAATTAGAGGCACCCTACGTAAAGCCTTTTGTAAGAAGAGCAATAGATAATTTAGCATATCATTGTCTACCGGCTTGCTTAAGCCCATAGAGAGATTTCAATAACTCCGCAAACTTGGTTTGATTTAGAACTACGAAACCCCAATGACAAATCCATATACACTTCTTTGTCAAGGTCGTCATGAAAAAAGACATTATTAATGTCCAATTGATGCAAGTGTTAATTGTTAATAAAGGCAACTGCTAATAATGTGTGAATGGTAGTCATTTTAGCCATTGGAGAAAATGTATTTAGATAATCTACACTCGCTCGCTGATTATACCCTTAGCAAACGGACATGCTTTGTACCTTTCTAGGGATCCATCAGCTTTATATTTGATTTTATAGACCCATTTGCACCCTATACTCGTTTATAAGGAGGCAGATTAGTGAGTTCCTAGGTAGCTTTCCAACAATCATGCTTAGCTGCTCGATGATAAGTACGAGGCTTTACAATAGTAGAAATGCTAACACTAAAGGTTTTATGTGGCAGTGAGCAATTAGAATAAGATAAAACAAAAGATAAAAGATGAAGGGTAGAACTCGTGTGAAGAAGAGAAGCATAACTAGTAGAAGGCAAAGCTTGAGACAGCTTAAATTTGTAAGGCACAATGATAATCTTGAAGATATGTAGGTGAATGTTTAGATTTGGTTGAATGTTTGGGAGGAATTGGAAATGATTCGATGAAGTATTATTTAGAGGAAAAATAGGAATGGGTGATATAGGAGAAGTAGGGGGATATATGGCAATGTCCGATACGAGTGGTGAAGAAGAAACATAAAGAGTAAATGAATGAGAAACATGTATGTAACTTGTTGGAAAAAAAAACCAAGAAGAATGTTAGAAAGTATGAAATCTGAAAAAGAGTCGAATGGGTAGAGAAACAAGTAAATGGAAAGATACTTTTATAAAAAATAACATCTCTAAACACTAAGATATTATCATTATGTAGATTATACAACTTATAACCCGTTGTACTAAGAGAAAACCCCAAGAAGATAGACTTGGAAGCCCATGCATCAAAATTAGTTTTATGGGCAAGATTAGATGCAAAACAAAAGCAACTAAAAAATTTAAGGTTGGTATAAGATGGAAGTTTGCCAAATA